GAAATAACCTAAGAAAAAATCGCTGTAATATTAAGAAATCGTTCGTTTTCTTTCGTTCTCAAATGCGACTTTGTTTCATTCTGTATATTATTCAATATAAAATTTTGCAAATATGTTAAACATCTTGACAAATTCAAACAGCTTTCTCGATTTATATATAACAAAAATTATTCGGGTAACCTATTTGATCATGAATATTAAAGATTGAAATGAATGCTGATTTGTAAAAAAAAAATATCTTGTTATTTATCCTTCTTGAATTTTTGATGGTCTGTAGGGAGAGCAATACATATTCATTTCATAAATATGTCCAACAATAATACATATCTGATGAGATTGTTAAAAATACGTTTTAAACTTCAGGTTTAGGACAAATATAATGTTTAAACCAATGATGCCCGAGCAGGCATAAATGTTTTATGTAAAGTCTAGGAAAGATTTCTTAGAACACAATGGACCATGAAACTTATATCATTCTAAGTCATGTACGGTACTCATGTCCAATTGAGTTGAAATGGCTGACAAGGATGCCTCTAAAAATGCAATGGATGATATATTTGCCTTCTTTGCTGCAGTCGTCTGTAACTCTGTCTCAAGTTGTGTGAAGTTTGTGTCAAGATTTCTTTGCATTTCTAAAATTAAATCATTGACTGCTTGAAAGTGTCATAAACACATTTCGAAGAAATATTTTGACATATTGCTGTTTCTGTCCGTCATCGTCTGTCGTGCGTTAAATTTAATTGTTTTAAGTTTCTTAAATTCCCTGAAAGCGCTCCGCAAAGAATGGAGGCGTACAAGGCAATTCCCCGCTCTGAAAAAAGACTTTTTTCAATTCTAAAAGTAGTATTTTTTTTCAAAATTTTATGGTTTATATAATTTTTTCACATCAAATTCTGTATTTCATTGTTTAAATAATTTATAAATAATTTATTTTTCAGTCGTGTTTTTAAGACATTTGAAAACAAAAAAGGGAAAAGCTTCACGTATCATTATTATCATTCACGTATCACGTATCTCCAAGACCAACCGCTTTCACCACTACGCTACGAAGTATATGCAATGTTGATGTCTTTCATTGCGATTTAAATGAACAGGTTTGTTGAAGCATATATTTTTTCCAGAAATTTTCGATATTCATATAGAATGGGTTCAGATTCCATATTTGGGACATATGAAATAGATTTCACATATACATTTCCATCATTTAAGCGTTCATGAAGAATGGAGACTTGACCCATTCATGTTCAAAATTCGTTTTTTATAGCTCTATTAAACCAATTTTCCACTAAATATGCTTAACTATCAACTTTGAAATAAAGATTATCAAATGATAAGTCGTTCAGGGAAATAAATAATAGAATGTTTTGAAGATTACATTACGGAGAACATGAATGTAGGAAAATATAACATTTCTGTGAATTTTAAAAATTGAGAAACATTTTGTCTCAGAGCGGGGGATTGTACACGCCTTATACGCCCTCTTTCTTTCAACCATTTTAAGCATATAGCATCCATGGGTTAAAGTGATTTTGTGGTCCATGCTTCCCTGGAGCCTGATAGGTGAGACAAAAACCAATATTTATAATTCAATCTTTAAAAATCTTCTTTACTTCTGGACGTCAATCTTTCAACCAGCTGGCATGATTTTAATTAGGCATTGAGCCCTCAACAAAAACTGAAATTATCACCAATGGGTCAGGGGTTCTGGTGCTAGGTCGAGACTGTGTTTAATATATTGGTATAAAACTAAAAAATGATTATGTCTTTAAAACAAATCTCCTCTGATCCTTGGTATTAAGACAAGGAACTATATATATGTATATTTATAATGAAAAAGGGTACTTCTTCCACAATTGTGAATTTTATGGCCTCGGGGTCAGGTGTTAGGACGGGGCTATAATTATCATATAGTGATAAAACATTAATTCTTTAAAAATCTTCTCCTGTTGGAAATTCATTATATTTAGGGGACAATTTTGGGTAAGCCTGCGTTTGGGGTAAACTTTATTTTAAAAAATACAAAATGCCGCTAATTGTAATTTTGATAACTTTTGTAATAAAGCCAAACCGACGTCTAATCAAGGTAAATTTTTGCACGTACTGTAATGAGAAATATATCGTAAATATTGTAAATTATGATAAGAAGTACTCATGATTAATTAAGTATAAATATAAATCTCAAAAATGGAAAAAGCTTGCAATTGCAGAGTTCATATCGAAATGCGTCATTTTCCCTATATTCTGAAAAACATCCATTTTTAAAAGCTATTTTCTAAATAATAGAGAGTGCAACCTCTGATCTAAAATACAGAACTACTAAATGTTAGATCTGTTTCTTGGGATCATAAAGCATTTTGTATTTTTTAGATCAAAGGGTGCGCTCCTATCATTTTTCTTCTTTGAAAGTACTGGAATATACATAAATATATTCCTAAAATTAACTAGGACAGTAGGCCCCCGAGAATAGTCGGAGGCCTATCTCCTACTTAAAACATGAATTAAAAAAGAAATGAGCAAAATAGGAAGCACACATACAATAAGTTCATTGTTTACAGAATGGACAGTTATTGGTAAGCTTGTGATGCACAACAATTTGTTGAATAGCCATTGTGTGTCCAAATGCGAATAACAAACGATTTTTGTCTAAAGAATTGACAGTTACAGGAGGTGGATTTCGGGGGATGCTTGTATTTATAGATTAATGCAACTCTTCAAAATCAGTTTATATTTTGCGTTGTTAGGGTACACATGTTTCCCTCCGATGCAGAGAATATATGACAGAATAGAAATAGAATTGAAACCTAAAAATACACAAACCTATGATATTTTGACCTGGAAACAGAGAATGGTAAGCGTAAAAGAAAATATTATCCAGACTTTGATCCCCTCAAAGCTTCTTCGATGAAATATACACTATATTAATTGCAGTAGTGTAATGGTGAAATTCAAATTGTGGTCCGAATGTTGGATAGCCATGAGCCAAACTTCGACCTGAAAATACCGGTCACGGTAGCCTAGTGGTAGAGCGTTCGCTTCGTGATCGGGAGGCCCGGGTTCGATTCTCGATCGCGGCGCCGCGTCATACCTAAGACGTAAACAAAGGTAGTGACTGTTCCTTCGCCAAGCGCTCGGCACTAGAAGTGAAAGTCACGGGTCTTTCGGATATGACCTTAAAAACGTAGGTCCCGTGTCACGGTAGGCGTTGGCACGATAAAGAACCCTCACTGCTCAATGGCCCTGAGTGCCGAGTATAGGTCTAAATTTGAAGCCCTTCACCGGCATCGGTGACGTCTCCATATGAGTGAAAAATTCTCAAGAGGGACGTTAAACAATATACAATCAATCAATCAATCGACCTGAAAATATATTTCAAATCAAATCTGGAAATGTTCAATTTTAATTATTTTCTACTAAAATATTCACTGCAGCAGTGTATTTTTCATGGTTCAAACTGTTTTCTGGGTGTTGGATTTAATATTAGCCTACTTCAAGCTTAAAATAGATTCTTCTCGAGGGAATGATGCTTCCAAAATCTTAATCAAATGTGAATTATGTCATTCAAATTAAAGTTTTATGGGGAAAAAAGAGTTTTGAGCATTGAAATTATATGCATTATTCATGGATTTAAATGTGTAAAATCGAACAAAACCGATGCAGACACTGTGTTCTGCATTAACTTAAATCCCCAGATTTTGTTATTTAATTGTTCATTAAATCATATTTGATGTACATATATTTGTTTAGTTTTCTTCTTGTACACATAATTACCTGTAACAGTCTATTCTGTTTGTTTTAACTGTACATTCTTTTTTCTTTTTAAAAAGCTGTCCTTTCTAAAAAGGAATGGACAGTTTTGAAAAAAAAATGGACACTTACAGGCTACTTAATGGATTGGTAGGAGAGTTAGCTCGACACTAAGCTATAGATTCATTAAGTGGACTACACAAACAAAAGCTTCATGTCACAATCATGTTTTAATTCACATTCTGTGATTGTAAGATGAAATGCGTCAACCTACAAGAGTTATCTTGGCATCATTGTTTTTGAAAATATTTTGTAGTGAAACAAAATACTAATTAATTGATTTGACGAATTCTGCAACCAAAATGTCTGTAACAATAAAAAGACTTGAACGGAAAGAGATATCAATATTTCAATTTTCACAGTTTAAAGGAACTCTGTCTAAATAATTTTGGTAATTTTTTAGGGAATGAATAAAAGTATTGGCAAAAGAAACTAAAAGTCGACATTTGTACCATATTTAAATCTGATTGTCCTCATCATTAAACCTTGACAAGACATTATATTGAATTGGTTAATACAATGATTTCCTCAGAAAGTTATATCTCTTATCAGAGGGATATAACGCATAGATGCATTTCTTAAAAATCTTTTCTTACAATATCAAATTAAATTGACTTAAATTGTACAATTTCTGTGTTACAGTTATAATAATGTTATTTCAATATTATTTCTATTATATTATTCCAATGCATACATGCTAGGGGACCAAAATCAGTCCAGTTTAGTTTGTGTATGTAAGGGTGAGGTTGGGGACGCCACAATGTTGACCAAAGAAATAAATTTGAAAAGATGATAATATAATGATGAAGAAAAGTCAATGACCACCTTCACAGAAAACGGAATGTAAGATAATAATAAATATCTGTAAATTTAAACAAAAATGTCACAGAACAAACTTATGCTGTATCGCTATTTGTTTCCAAATGAAGAATGATAAAAACAAGACGTGAACAACACAATCCACTTACCCGGTATTTATCGTTATTCACTAGAGAAAGTATGCTTAATCCACACTTTTTTATTTGGACAAAATATTATTTAATTTTGTTTATTGGAAACTTAATATAATTATTTTACCTTATAAATATGTTTACACAAAAGAAAAGTAGCGAAATAAGGAAAAATACACTTCCTATCAATTTGGGATTGTTTTTGTGCTTGGTACAAAGAAAGAAAAGATTTAAATCTATACTTACTCGTTAATTTCTCATCAGTAATGTTTAATTTATCTTCGATGTATTTGACTAAAGAACCATTCAATTTTTCGGTCATGGACTGGATGTCCAGCAATGATAGGCTTGTATACCTCATCTTTACCTCAAGATTCTCCAATTTCTTTGCTGTCTCATTTAATCGATACGTAAGATTTTTGTCAAATTGTTCGATTGTCGATAATATCTGGACTTTTTGTTTCAACTCCTCTTCCAAAAAGAATACTCTGTTTTGAAGTAGATGTTTGTCTTCCCGAATAATATCAGTTTCTTTTTTGAGATTTTCCACCTCAGCTGTCAGGTTCAGAAACTTTTGGTTGATTTCTGATGCATCAAGTTGGTACTCGGCTGATCCATGATTTGTGTCGCTTACATTAGATTTCCCATGCATTAGCGACGCTGAAGCTTGTCGGATATTAAACAAAAGCAATAAAATTGTAATGCCCACTGAATTTAACATATGCATTTTTGAAAATGAAATATAGAAATAAACCAGAGTTCTTTCATCAGTTTTCTTACCCCTTTTCCAATATTCTCGATTTTGCATTCTAGCGTTTTGAATTTATACCCTTCTGGAAAAGATAAGCAACTTTAATGGTAAACCTTTTAACCTGTCATGTTGTATATTTGTTCATGAAATAAATTAAATTGTTTATTTGACACAGTTGTATTTTATTGAAATTATCATTTATCTAGAAATTTGAAATTGAAATATAATTTACCTTTATTACTTTGTTTTTACAAATCTAACGATCTACTATTGCAATGTTATGAAATATTTATGAAAAATTCCCACGCAGGAGCTTGAAGTACTTTAAAGGAAGAACTATTAATCTATTTAGTGTTATTGATCTTGAAATGAAAATAAACACCCACTTTCTAGATTAAATGATTTTTAAAAAATTTAAAAAACCTTCCATCAGATAAAAAGAGATGTATATTCTGACGATGAAAAAATGAAAAAGTTAAGCTGAGTTATATTGTACTGATTTTATTTATAAAGGTAAATGAATCAGAAATCAGACTAAATTACGAAACATTGGCTAGTGATTAAAAAATTTTTAATGGTTTCGTAGATATTTGGCCAGTTTCAATTTGGAGGGGGTATTGATCGACCTCCGCGTGTCAGGCCTACTTTGATTATGTGTCATGTCACAATGCAAGGGAAACAATTTTGTATGGTCAAGATAATAGCTTCAATGTTTTTAAAATATTTAATCATTCCAAGTTACGAATGATGAGAAAGACCTTCAGGGGTTGTCACTCAAGTTTACACTTAAAATGTTAGGTGAACACTTAGAAGTTTGCTTGTAAGTGTTCACCTAACATTTTTTTAAATTTTAAAGAACAAATACATACAATAAATAATGTCATAAATTCATGGTTACATGTAATGATGCATATTTCACTCGGATGTTGCGTAAATTTCATGTAAATATCTTGTCAGAATTTTAAGCAAAGTGTCGAGGACACGATGTACCCTCAAAGTGAAAATTCCCAAAAAATCTCTATGGAGTAAGACCATCACTCGCTCTAATTATTACAAGACAATCTTTACTGTTGGATATCATGTACCCCTGAATAGGAGATTGACCTATCTGCTGCCACACCTGTGGAGGGGGGAGGCTTTGACATTCCTTATAAAAATTCCAAATGTGTTCAATAGGATTCAGATCCGGGAATTTGACAGTGTATCATCACACCGATGCCTTTTGGTCACTACACTAGGGTGTTTAGCACCCAAGTGCACCGCTTTTAGGATGATTCAGACTGCTGGAGCTGATATTTGTTATGTAGACAGGAGTTAATTTACACCATTTCAAACACAATGAAAATTTCTTCTTGACTCAACAAAATAACTTGCCTATAAGAAATATTACACTATTGAAAAAAACACCACATGCAAATCCAAGAGCATGATAAAGCAAGTTCCATTGTCACTTCGAATTCAGAAAGTCGCAAAAACGACATGTAGAAAGAATGGAAGACAAGACTAATATGACGGGAAAAATGAATTTTAAACAGTTCCTTTTAAATGTGTAATTGGACAAACGTGAATGGGACTGATTAAGAAAAGAAATCCCAATTATATACTTATATTTTTTCTCAAAAATGTCAAGGCATCTTTAGCTTAAAAACAATATAATGATTATCACACTAAATTGTTTTTTTCTGTTTTGTAACAAAATGAATTTTACACACAATATAAAGAGCTAGGAAAACGTCATCAACTCTAAAATTTCAGACTTGTGGTATATTGGTCAGGTGTGCATTCTCCCCGCAATTAGATGCATGAATATATCTTATATAGGTTAAAAATATCGCTTGTTCTTCTTTATCCAGGTAGAAAAGAGAGTTTAGAGGCAAACAGTACGAGTATAACTGTCTTTTGACAGCATCTAGTCGATCTTTCAGTTACCGTGCAAAATATAAACGGTTATTTTATAATAGCTGAGGAAAAGAAATGCATATGATGTTAATGTTAGGATTTGTTTTATCATTTTCATTGCCGTAAATTAACGATATTTTACTAGAAAAATTGTAGTGCGATTTTCTGTAATATATATTATCACCCATTCTCAATATAAGGACTCAAATGATGTCGCCTCATTTTCATTTAAAAGAAATACCACTGATGTAATTTTTAAATCAACATTATAAATAGTCATATAACAATGAATAAGAATTCATATAATTATCGATCTGAAAGGGTATTTAAGGAGTTCCAAATTCAAATATAGTAGCCTATTTGAAATGTACGTTACTGTCGCCGAGGCAAATATTATTCTGAATCCCCTCTGTGTAATATATAGTTTTGATTCTCAAGTAAAAATTTTCTGATAAGTTAAACCTTGTATCATATATATTTCTTTTCATAACAATAAATACATTTTCTTTGTGATAATAAATATTTTTTATTGTGCAATGTCCCTGTCGCTTAATTCTATTTCAACCACATTACAAGCAAACACAAAGATTATACACCTGATAGTTTTGTTCTCCTTTATTTATTGATGGGCTAAATTTGAAATTTCAAAGGATTAATTACTCCTACTTAGATAATGTAACATGAAATTGAACAACTTGAGCAACTTTTATAAATATGTTTACGGAATGAAAGACATTTTCAATCGTAGAGATAAGAAAGAAATGTACGTTACCTATATTCTTCCATTTAGAATACATATTAAGTAGAAAATATGAGACGACTCTGAATAAGCAACCCCTTGTATCCTGTAAACTGGCAAAGACGTTTTGCTAAACACAATTAAAAATTATTTTTTACATGAAAAGTGATCATTTGAAATGTACGTGACTGAAATGTACGTTACCATGAAATTCGAATTAAGTGAATCTCGCACGAATTTTCACGTATTCTAATACTTTCACACACTCGAATGTGTACACAAAGGACAGTTTCAAAGGTTGGAGGTCGGCTAAATTCCAAAATTAATGAAAAAAAACGTTTCTGCTGAGGAAAAAAATATATTAAGGTCAATCATTATGTAATATAATTTTGATACCTGGTATATATTTCTGAATACGAAACCTGTATGATGCATTTCTTACGATATGCAGGTTCAAATAGTATCAATATATTGCGCGTCTAACGTATGCTTGTGGAAGAGAATTGATTTTTATATTTGAAATGTACGTTACGTATGGTAACGTACATTTTATGTATTTCTAACTGACATTTTTTTTTAATTTAGTAAATGAATTGCGTTTACACGAGCGAAACAAAATTATCGTTACAATCCATTTGACAACTGGCCACATCTAAATGCACCCCAATCCTCGTAAATGTTTCAAACTGTTACCACATGCTAGAAAATTTGTTTCTAAGTGTCTTAAATTCATCTTTGGCAACCATTTTGCAGTTTGTTTACTTTTCATGTGCGACTTTTCGTCAATATTAATTGAATTGTTGTTGATAATTTAAAACAAGGTATGCATAGGCTTATAATTGGTAAAAAAACAAAAAACAAAACAAAACAAAAAAGAAAAGAAAAAGAAACAAAACAAATAAACCCAGAACACAAGACGGTCACGTAGATTTCAAATACTGAATACTCAGTTTTGTTTGAATCATTGCATTTTGGGTTATATTTTTCCAGATCTGCTAAAAAGCACGTATGTTTGTGTTTTGAAAAACGATGTTACAACATACTAATGAAATTGTTAACAAGACTGTCGGTGGATATATTCGGAATAGATTTATGTTAAGTTTCAATGGCCAAACACGAACATTTGTTAGATCATAGCAAAATACATCTGACTCTTATATTTTTTTGTCTGTAACCTTGCACACAGTTAGAAGTAACTAGGCTACGACCGATGTCAATTTCAGCGAAACAGCACAAAAGAATGGTTATGAACTGAGGTGGAGGGGACTCCCCAATAATATGTGAAATGAACGTTACCGAAGTGATGTGACATTCTTGTAGCTGATGACAATAACCTCATTTGTTACATTATGATTTCTTATATTACTGCATTAAAACGCTTCATTGATATGATTTTTATGTCAAAAATTGCTTTTTTCCCAATATTTTCTTATTACTAATTTACATATTATTACAAGCTAGAAATGTACGTTACCTACTCATATTCTGAGGCAATCGTGTCTTTATAGTGGTGATTGTGACATATAACACAATGTGATTACATAGAGAATCTTTTTTTGGAATAAACTGAATCAAAACGATGAATTTTGAGATGAATTTTAGATGAATTTTAAGCTTTTTATTAAACAGAAATATATCTTGAAATGTACGTTACATTTACATAGTTTTCTAAATCGGCATGGACAAATGTTAAAAAAGACAGTAACTTCAAAATAGAATTTTACTACATGTACAAGTTAGGTTCCAGTATCTATTAAAGATGACAAGATTCCAAACTGATCGCTCTTAACAAAACAGAGAGAAGAATTTAAAGCATATATTTAAAAATGTTTTTACACATCTGGATCAAAAAGTAACCTTTGTTTTTTGAAAGGAAAAATCGAACGCACGTTCGTATGCCGAGAAAATATGTTGCTGACAGAGTTGATAGGATGTGCTGATGTTAAGATGAGATATTCCAATTGTGATTTTAATGACTACATTTTTTTTGACATATTTTTTTGGACATTGAAGAAAGAGTAACGTACATTTCAAGCTACATTTCTGAATAAAATTACCCTCTACTTTATCGTCTTGTAATTATTTCATGTATTATAATTTGATGAAAAAAATCTGGAAACAAAATCTTCAGATACATTCTTTCAAAAGTAATTGATAGAAAAATTTTTATCTTGAACTTCATTTTTTAAAAAATCAGAGAGGCATTTGTGCCCTTATATTGAGAATGGGTGTTATGTGGATAACTGAGACAAAGTGAAAGAGGGTCTAGGTGTATGTTTAGTTATTGAGAGAGTATTTTGGGTTTAATCGGCAAAAAAGAATCGTGCAGTGTAAAACTGTTGATATGTTTTAAAAAATTGAGAACGGGATAATAAACATTGTACTCGATATAGAGAGGAGAGTGATGCGTGTGGTCCAACATACACTGGTACTGATGTTTGTAAGAGGAATGTTAACAGCTTAATATACTAAAATCAAGAAAATAAGAAACGCCGTGGAAGCAAAGAAAGGAGGAGTCTCACTTCAATTTAAAGCAGTCGATGCCACCGTTTAAAGACGCAAAAACTGTCAATAATTAACACAGAACATCAGAGGTGTGATCAGTTGCCATAAAGGAGTGAGTAAAAATTAGATAAATGATTGCTCACATTACTTGCAGAATTGTCTCAAAAGACAAATTGACAACTATGAGGAACTTCTAAAGTACTTCACAACTGACTCAGCAACATGGAGATAACTCGCAATTATAACTTGCAAATAAACATAAAAGATAAGAAAATTGAAGAAAAAAAACATCAAATTATGATAAATGCAGAGTCAAGGTGAAAAGGTTGGATAACAGAGTTTATCTGAGCAGAATTCTTGGGACAATTTCTTAGGACTTATAATATTATTAGATTTTACATGGAATAAATAATGAGAGAACAGAATCTAGATAGAACTTATAATAGATCCTGCAAAAATTGATAAAGATACTAGAACTGTGATCTACTTCAAAGAGGCTAAGAAGGTCAGCTACACAGACGTACAAGACAAAAGATCAAGGAACAGTGCAGTACAGTTGCGGTGTCTTATTGAAATTGTAGCGTTTAATACATCATTTAAATTCACCTAGTAACAACAATTTACAGAAAATAATATCATAACTGAAAGAAATATTTTATCGACGTCAAGAAGTAATGCAAATTACATTTATTTTATACTAGTGATATATTAACTTTTTATAATACACAGGTACAAACACGTCATTTGAGTGCATTTGAATCGAAAGTGTAATTGTTTGATAGGCATCAAGAGTTTACACAGTTTAAATGAGGTATCCAGAGATCGTGGTGGTAGGAGCATCGCTGTACGTGTAATAACCAGTACCATGGTGATGTCTTATCCACACTGTGTCCCCCTGTTTCAGAAATAATGTTACAAGGTTAGTACCTGTCTCCCAACGATCATTTGTGTCATAAGAACTAGCCATCGCTCGAACTTTACTAGATCCATTTAACACAATATCTACTTGTACACCACTTCTGCTGGTACTTTGGATGGTGACGAAGAACACATAATCGCCTGATACGGGTGCGGTGAAGATTCCGGTGTGAGGGTTATACCCACCTCCGACGTTACTAATAACTTTATTGAATATTAATGTTCCAATGTTCCAAGAAATGCTATCAGACGTCACCCCATCAGTGAAGGTCACGCTCTTTGACATGTCTACAAGAAACGAAATGTTAATTAGTTAACAATAATTTAGAAATATCAACAGAACGTGAGAAATTTCAGAAAATTAAGAAGTACTTTGATAATGAATGTCTCAATTATACAAAAAAAAACCTTTAAAAAAAATTCTATTTGTAGCGCTATAGGACACTATAAAATTATTTGAGTTGGAAATAGCAAATTCCATTGTAATGATATTTAAGATAATAAAATTTATATTTAAATATTTAATATTTTAATTTTCTTAAATATGTAAGTGATGTTCAGTAATTGCCATGTTTCTATCAATAAACATGTTTCTATTGATATCTCATGTTATTGAGCATTACTTTTAACAAGCTTATCAACCTTTAAAAACTGACCAGGGTTTAAAATATAATTCATACAGATTTTTTAAAATAATAATTTCACAAGTTTCAAGATATATTTCCCAGGGTGTTTTCATACGTAGCATAAGAAATGTTGTCTTTACCTGTCGTATATTTTTAAGCTCACAGATTAACCATAAAAGCTTGATTTTATCGATCGACATATGTATTTAGAGAAATTTATTTATCTATGAAAAAAAAAATATAACTCATTTTTTTTTAAAATACATCTAGAGAAAAATTAAGGAAAACTTCTTTTATACACCAAAAAATTGAATTTAAATTCAAAGCACTGAATGTAAAAAAAATATTTTCAAAATCTTTGGTATCAAAGTTTCTTTTTGGAGTTATCTTACCTGTTGCCCGCGATTCAAAAACGTTGGCAAGTCTCTGCATACGTCACCATTCAACAGTTACTCATTATTCGTGATCGCGACTGACCTAGTCGATAAAATGGGTAGCAACTGTACCTACTTCATGCCCTCGGCACTTTGAAGTTAAAGTTGCGGGTCCTTCGGATGAGACCTCAAAAACTGAGGCTCCGTGTCAGCGGCAGGCGTTGGCACGATAAAGATCCCTAACTGCTCAATGGCCCTGAGTGCCGAGTAAAGGTCAAAATTTGAAGCCTACTGTGTGAGAAAATAAGTAAAAATTCTCGAGAGGGACGTTAAACAATATATAATCAATTAATCAATCATTATTGGCTACTGAACTAGACAGATATAAAAGAGGAAAACTGGAAACGCATACCATTTTGTAATATTATATTTTATTTTGAATATTTATAAACACACAATGAGATAGTGTATGATTGAAACGAAACGCACAAATAAGTTTGATAATAACTTACAATAACTGCACAAATAAACGCAAAAATATCTACTTTCAACACAGACTCTGTTGACGATCATATGGCAATGGGTTGATTAGCCTGAAAGTTAAAAATAACCTGTAAGTTTTCATCATACCGGCACACGTTGTTTACCAATTATTATATAACATAAACCCAGTCATGTGTCGTTCTTTTATTTAAAAAAAAATATTTTTCTATGGGTCACTCCGTGGCCATGCCATGTGTACATTGTTTATGATTTGGGTGTCTCTCTCCGTGTACTGCAAACTTTTCTCTTGACAAAACCTTTATATCTAAAGCGTTTAAAAGACTCTCTTACAACCGGTTCCAGGCAATTCGTGTATGCACAACTATATAAAACCGGAAAAAAGTATTTTTTCTATACATACGTCACAAGTCACATGGTGTGAAGGACCCTTAAAAGATTATTTTTATTCTGACGATTAGAATTCGAAAGAGACATGTTGAGATATAATTTACTGAGCGCATATATAGAAAGCACAAAGACACTTTAATAAGGATACCCACTTCCGCCCCAGCCAGTAGTTGAACTCTTGACCTATGGGAACTGTCTCACAGAAGTACAAGAACAGTGCGTTAGACCGATCGGCTATCTACAATCGCATCACCTCGGGTCTTTCCGTCAGAGGTCGGAAAAAACAACCTCGAATGTATTAACATCGCCGGATGTTAAAATTTTATACATTTCCTGTTTATTCAAATATAGGATAGACGGAGTTACAAGTCCCTTCTATAGTATATTTTAGGTAATATCACTACATTGAATAAAGTTAAACTCCATATTCCACTTCTAAAAGGTCTCCATGCATTTATTTCAGAGATCGTAAAAGTGTGTGCGTGTGTGTGGGGAAGGGGGGGGGGGTCATGACGTCTACCATATACATTCGAGGTCGTTTTTCCGCTAGTCGGAAAGGCCCGAGAAGTTGCGATTGCGGCTATCTAGGCGAGTCAAAAACTTGCATTCAATGCCGATGGAATTCACACAACGCCGCCCTACACTATACGGTCATTGAGAATAGAAGTGAGATACAGTTATTATACCCCCCGCTTGAAAAGCGGGAGGGTATATAGTAATCGTTAATTCCGTCCGTCTGTACGTCCGTCTGTCTGTCTGTCCGTCCGTCTGTTACGCTTTGGGGTACCCATCTCTTATCCGCAACTCCTCTCATACCACTGAATGAAATTTGATGAAACTTTCACAGAATCTTTATTACATGTTGCCATTGTGCACCTCCTATTTTACTTTTTGATCCGACACATACTTTGGGTTTCCCGGCCACAGGAAAACATGGACTTTTTCACCAGTTATAAACATATGGGAGGCGGGGGGTATCATTTAGTGAGCTCATCGCTCACAGTACCTCTAGTTTGGACATTAGTTTTATCAGAGGATCGTTACCAATACATGTTGTAATGAAATTTATTTTATTTATTAATGTAACAGTGGTATGGTAAGGTACACAAAACTCCTGTCAGGGATCTTTAAATATATTTATTCACGGTGGAGTGACTATAGGTATAAATAGATACCCTGTAAATATCATAAAACAACAATAAACAGTCCAATCCAGACTTTGCAAAAGTTGTTTCCCTTTGCGGAGTCAACCAAAAGGTCAGAAGGGAAAGAAACGTCATTTCTCCTCTTTATGATACCAAATATTTTGGCGTGCTGTGGTAAATCCATTGTGTTAATTTTTTTCTTTCGATAAGTGGGTAGCCCCATCTTGGAGCAATCAGTACACAGAAGGCAGACCTTTTTAAAGTCAAATGACGAAGTTACAAAACTGAAAACTACAAAGGATACTGTGTGGATTGTATGGGTTTATTCCCTGAGATGGCGACCAAGGGACATAACTTTTGAAAAGTGTGGATTGGACTATAGAATGTAAATATCACACACATAATGTCCATTACTTTACATGAAGATAGTACTTTGATTATAATCCTAAGTTAACACATTATCATCAACGGGAGATAACTTTTGAGTATATAAATCATTACATATTTCTTCCAAAATAGTCAAAAAATATCCAAGATAAAAACATATTAATCTCACCATTCTATTGGAATATGCCCATCAAAATTGTCTATTTTACAAAGTCTATGAATGGTGATCTGTAATTTAATACAATTATATTTAAAAATATTATCTCTTAAAAATATACCAGTTACTCACTTTAAACAAAATAATCAAAAATATCTTTGATCATCATAAAATCACATAATTTGATTAACTTTGAATTAATTCTAACAAATATATTAGAAATTAACCAGAGAAGGGAATCTACAGTCTCAAGTCAATGTCTAAATATATGTCTTGTCTGATTAACTATGAATAAGCAATGGTCATAATAAAGCGGGAAAACTCTAGACCAGTCAAGAAAACCAATACAATCCAACCTTTCAAATTAATGACCGATAAAAACCAAAATCACAATGACCACTTCCAAAATACATGATCAATGCCCTGGGGTATATACAAATATGTACAGGTAAAACAGGTAAGGTAGAAGGAAGGAGTGGATCTAGGTTTTTAATAATAAATTAAATAAAAGATAAAATAAATGTTCTGGCATGTTCTGTAACAGTTACTTTATTTCATACAAATTGAACACTATAACATAAAGCACAATGTACAACAACTCTTGAACTCATATAACTGCCCTTAGTGCAGAAATATTAATATAGAAAGCACAAAAAAATTCACTTTCAGAGGGATACCAACTCTTTTTAGTGTAAGAGTTGTAAAATTCGCTATATATGTAAATACATGTATATATTTTTTGATTTCCTAAAAAAAAAAAAAAAAATGATAATTGAACCAAGTTCTTCTTGCATATAGCTATCTAGATATCCTTAAAATGTGGAGGTAAACCAATGTTATGCAGAGTTATGAATTCTACTGTTTTACAAATCTATTTTGCAATCAATTCATAAACATTTATGTATCAAATAACAAGTAAATATTGTAAAACTGGTTATTTTTGTTGTACATTTATGCTGTTCTATTGTCCTAAGTACATTGTGTATATACAGCTGTATAATCGATACAGGAAATAGCATCACAGATTGTCTCAAGTTTTGAAAAAAAATAAACGCATCCATTTTTATACTTGGCGGCAGTTAACAGTAAGCTGTATATATATCATAATACCTGAAGGCCTGAGGGTTAAAGAGATCCTTTAAATGCTCAATCTAACTGCACTTTGTAGGTCATCTCTGATAACTTTTTTTTTCAAAGTCAACATGAAGTAAGATATAAGATGTGTTGAATTTTCAGGTGCCATGACTTCAGTCCGGTCTCATTTTTAGGCTATAAGAAATTCAATTCACATTTATCCTTAATGTATTTTATCCGCAAGTGTAAGGCTCCAAAAGGTGTTTGAGTAACGTAAAGTCCATTTACTTGTTTTAGAATTTGAAAACATTCCATAAAGGACTGCATAGCATTTTTAAACTCTCCACAGACAAGTTGGCAGATCCCAAGTATATGCCATGAAATATCCCTCAGTTTGTCTGGAATGAACAAACCATTGTTATAATGCACAAGATAAAAGAGATTTTCTAAAGCGTTAATTTTTCCGTGTTCATTATGCAATTCGTTATTTACCAAAACTTGTAGCATATGCACAAAAACAAGCGCAGGAACAATAATACAACATTTATCATTTAAGGCATGAATTTGCTGCTCCAGCAGAAGTTCTTTAATATAACAACTTTCATTGTCTAGCAGTATATCAAATGCAACCGCTTTTCTTAGTTTCTCACATAATGCTTCATTTCCTACAGTATCTTCGTATTTTTGGATGTTGACATTGTTGTTGTAAAGTAAAGAGGGGTTGTTAAGTTTTCTATTAAGATCTTCCAAAAGACTTGCGGCTTTTTCATACCTTTGTGTTCTGTACAAGAATATACACAAATATAAAATTTCAGATACATTCCCGTACTTTTCTGCTAAAGTGAGCAGTGACAATATCAACTTGTTACTTTTGTAGAAGAATTTGTTTTCTGTTTTCATTGATGAATTGTAAAGACAGAATGAAAGACGATGGAAAGTTAAGGACGCAAAATGTTGAATAGTTACTTTGCGTTCCTCTGTATGGTGATATTTTACAATATCCTCTAACATCCTTAAGCAATACATTGGCCTCTTTATCATTGTGTGAAGTAGACCAAAAGTTTCAAATCCTTTAATTTCATTAAAAGTTCTTATTTCAAATGTCTGCTTCAATTGTAGTCTAGATTCATCTTCAAACAACCATACAGGATATAATGTCTTTAAAATCCTACTGAAATTAAATGACGGCATTTGGAAAATACAGGTAATGCCCTCTTCATACAATCTAAGGAGTTGACAAAGTAACCATTCTTGTTTACATCCAAAGATCTTTCCATAAAACATATTGTTTTCAGGAATGAAAAAATTTGGACAAAACCCTCTTTCTACCCAGCTGATTAAACGTTTGAAGCACAACCAAAAGCACGAGACAATTGTACACGGATCCCAAGGGAACGGATTTTCCTGAATCTCCCACAACACTGCTGTTTTCATGAAATAAGAACAAAGCATTGACTCCTCACAAAATTTATCTAATACCTCCTTTAGAAATAATTTCAACAATCCATAGACAAGAAATTGGGTATGATTCATAGAATAAATCAGTTCTAATTCCGCCATTGAAAATGAAATTCTCCATTCTATATTTCTTAAATCTGGATCTTGACTACCGATTGCCATAACATGACATCCACCTTTTATGATCCTTTGCACAACGTTTTGGTTTGGCCATTTCGAACATCTTTTAATCCAGGGATTTGCTCTTTTTGGCCAAAATGGGCACTGAATACAAATACCAAGATCAACTTCATCTCCTGATAAAGTAGATTGTAAACAGGGGCCGTGCTGCAAACCACCTAAATGAATTCTGCCTAGCAAAAAAAGATAATTCCAATCACTTCTAAAATACGTCTTTCCTTGCATAACAATAAAACCATCGTCGGATGAACTCTTACAAAATGGGATTCGAAGTTTGTAAAATCCAGGATTGGATTCCTCACATTCAAGTTCCATGTAAAGTGGCCAAATTGATATGGGGTTTGCTGAAAATCTGCTAGAGTTGTATCTTGATTGATCATTTTCGAACAATCTAATGATATTTGGTTTAAAAGGAGTCATTACATCAAAATCTGAACCTGGTATTCTAAAACCTTCCCTTTTACTTCCACTTATGATTATCGAAACGTATGAGAGCATAGGACCAGCTAATGCCGCGAAAAAACAACTCTGTATATCCAATGCACCTCTTCTTATTTGGATTTCTTTTTCGGACCCAATATCTTCATTTAAAATAGCAAAAATGGCCAAAGACAATTTTTCCTGATTGTTCATCTGTAATAAAAGAAATACAAATGTATGCTTATGGCTTGGGCGTAAAAGAAATTCCATGTTAAATCTGCAGGGCATATTTGATAAATCTACAATTACAATAATAAACGAATCAAACTAGATCATTTGGTCGATGCCTGACAAAAAGAAGTTAAAACTTGTATAACATGGATTAAAAACAATATGTAAAGTACATTCAGGCATATTTTACTCGATTTGTCAGTTATGCCGTCAATGATTCTACATTTAACACGTTTACCAGAATCAAAATAAGCCGAACTAAAACAAGCCTTACTCTGAAACCAAGGAGAAATAACCTTGAAAATAAAACCATGCATTCGAATCATAAAAAAACTTTTCCATTAACTCCTATTAGTATTTTCTATACCCTGATTGAAGCAATTTGAAATTCATATATATTTACTTACTTTGCTATTGATATCTCAATCAAGAGTTTTTCAAATTACAGCATGTCTACGCTGTTGCCCTTCCTAATTTCTAAATTCTTTTCACGTTTTCTATTCGGATATGTGCAGCAAAGAAACAGCAGTTTCCTCCTGAGTGATACAATTCATCGTGAAAAATGTTTCTGTACATCCCAGGTAAACACCCAGTTTTATTCATTTTGAACTGATAACCTTTGACATGAGTGATACATATCTATGGGAAATCAAGATTAGAAATAACTATAGCTATACTGGAAATTTTCATTGACTAAGATTCACTGGTAGTTTCTAAGTTCAAAGGGGATAAAATACTTTCCTTCAGTTATGGAGCTATTTAATGTTTCTTTCTTTATTCAAGTTTAATCAAATGTTTCTGCCATCACAAAGAAACACATGTATATTGTTTATCCTTTCGCGTTATACATGTCTGTATCTGTATTTTTATTCCGGTTCCAAAATGAAAATTACCACCTGACATGGCTATGGACTACGTTCAACCGTTCAACAGCGTACTGACCTTTTTGTATTTCTTTATCTATAAGTACACCCGATTCAGACAAAGACAAATAATCAGACGGTAAATAATATGTGTACTTTGTGCAGTCACAGGCCAACTGTAAATTATCTATCATCAAACAAGCTATTTATGTTATTAAAAAGAGATGGGTGAACATGACGAGAGATAAAGCCATATATCACAACTAACATGAAGATGAAAAATTAAATCTGAGTTATATCAAAATTTTCCTTAATATTTTATCTAACATTAAAGTATTCTTGATGTAAATCTCTACAACTTGCATAAATCTCATGAAGATTGAGCAATTGTCTATGAAATATTGAACACACACGAAAGAGGACAAAACGAGTAATATTTTCACACTATAACACTATTTTTCGATATGAGTGGGCCTTCTCTTTAATTTTTTTTTTAAGTTAATCCTCAAACTTTGCATACAAACATAAATATTCTGACTTCCAAAATTATGGAGCAAAAACCCACTTTACCTTAAAATATAATTTTATGATATAACTTTCGTATCTTTTCGAGAAATACTTGAAGTCCCTTAAGTCAATGGTCATATCTCAAATATGATTTAAATTCCATGATTCACCAGAACTTGTGTAGAATAGTGGTAAGCGAGCTAGTCTCATTACTTATAGAGAATGTCATATAGGATTTTTATTGCCAGGGTTCGAACACAATGGATACTACATTGTTATTCCTTTTCTAAAAGAATAAATTTTAACGAAAAAATTTCCTCAAATATTTCATAAATATTAATGATGAGATTTTTACTCTAAACTAAATAAACAATTTGAATATGATTTTTATATATGCTTTATGCACTCTAAGTTCACCCATCTCCTTCGTGAATTTGAATTTCGTTTCATTTAATTTTTTAAAATAAGAGTTTACAAACATTATGTATAATTTATACACACGATATACATCAATATATTTTTCATAAAAATCATGCATAGAAAACATGGTATTTCAAATACATTTTATTATCCAATAAGGTGAAATACATGTATATCAGGGACATTCTGCAATTAGTATTTTTCATCATCAATTCAGTTTAGGATCAGATTCCCATGAAAACACTTGAATTTTTACAATATTGTAATTTAGTTCACCAATCTTGTTTAAAGACTATTAAAAAATCAAAGAGTGTTGGGAAAAAAAAGTTACTTTAATGGCTGTCGAGCAATTTCCTGCTCTGCAGATTTTGAGGAAATTTAAAAGGATATAAAAAAAAAATTCGCTGATCGGTCATCCTATTGATTCATTCATGGTGACTTTAAAGGTGTTCCATGATTGATTTGCTTGTCTGAAAGTTACTGATTAGAATATTTAATTTGCCAAATTTTTATTTCTTAAAAAACAAAATAATACAGATACAGTGTATATCGAATCGTTGTTACAGTTAAATTGTAAGTTATATTTTATATCAGGAATCCAGAGAAGGTGGTGGAAGGAGCCTCGCTGTAGGTGTAATAACCTTGACCACGGTAGTGCGTAACCCACACCCTGTCCCCCTTCTGCAGCTTTAATGTCACCAGATTTGTACCTGTCTCGAAACCGTCAGAGGTGGAACCCATTTCTGCTATCGCTCGGAACTTCTTAGATCCGTTTGATACAATATCTACAAAAAGATCATGGCTGTTACCATAACTTAGGATACTGACGTAGAACGCATAATCTCCCTCCACTGGTGCGGTGAAGATTCCGGTGTTGGGGTTATATCCTCCTCCCACGTTGTTGATAACTTTATTGTACACTAAGGTACCACTGTTCCAGGAACTGCTATAAGACGTCACGCCAGCAGAGAAAGCTACTCTCTTCGACAAATCTACAAGGTTAGCAATGTTGATCATTTGTTTAAAAGAAAAAGTTAAATGTGGTATGAACAAATGATTGTTTATATAATTTATTTAATCTGATGAATAAGAATTTTGTGAGTTTTAGAGTGTAATGCACTCTTTCATTTTTTTAAACAAAATTAAATCTCAATATTTAATTGAACGTCGTTATCATCGAATTTAAGAATATTCAAGTAAGTTCGATTATTTACCCTGAAGTTAATTTTATAATCAAAATTGCTAAAATTATAAGCAATACCATTTGTCGATGCCCCTAGAATAAGGAAAAGAAACTGTATTTCTGCTAGATAATTTAGTTTCCCGGCCACCTATGGAAAGCAAGTTCCGTTTGTGTGTGTGTGAGGCGGGGGGGGGGGTGTCCTAGACCTACGATTTTGATCAAAAATAGTCTAATTTGAAACCTGCACTTTTATGATAAGGATCAAATAATGAAGACGATTCATAAACTACCTTAACGTAAAGCAGGATTGATAGATAATGCTAAAAAGATGCACATTTACAAATGAAGCGTCACACAAAAGCTTGTGCACTTTCGCGACATGTTTTCCATAAGTCGAATAATAATCTTAATGTGAAAAAAAGTCAACAATTTCAATAATCGTAATAAAAAAAATAATTTTGCCCACATTTTTTGACAAAATTACCGTAAATCCTGTTAATTGCAAAACTTATATTTTTTAATCTTACATGTCTTATGTAAAAGGAAACAACTCGATATAATGGAGAATACACCCTCTTTCAATTAAGGATTTGATTTTGCATATTAAATAAATAGACGATCATATACTTACTAGTTAGCTGCTCATAGACACTATTTATTTTTTCTTCCACGTACTTAACTAAGGACACATTTAAGGCATGGATGTCAAGTAATGATAAGTTTGTATATCTCATCTAAACCTCAAGATTCTCCAGTTGTTTTGCTGCTTCATTTAATCGGGACGTTAGATTTTTGTCGTTTTCTTCATTTGCCAACAATGTCTGGACTATTTGTTTTGTACTTCTCAAATATATGCACAGTTCTTCACTTGAAGGTTTTGTCGCATTTAGTTTATTTAACTCCGCTTCCAAAAAGAATACTCTGTTTTCAAGAAGCCTTTTCTCTTTACTAAGGATGGAAAGATTCTGCTTTATTTCAGGTATTAAGTCTGTTTCTCTTTGAAGATTTTCTACCTTTGCTGTCATGTTCAGAAACATTTGGCTGATTTTTGCTGTGTCCAATTGCAAAGGACACTCAGCTGATCCATGATTTGTGTCGCTTGTATTAGTGTTTCCGTGCATTAGCAACGCCGAAACTTCTCCGATTTTGAACAAAAACAATAAAATTGTAATGTCCATTGAACTAAAAAAATGCATTTTAAAAATTAAATGTAGACACAACTCCAATTTCTTGCATTAGTTTACAAAACTACTTTTTCCAGTTTTATATCCCATCTATTGATCTGAATTTATATACTCCCTCTGGAAAAGATCAAAGACCCGTAGGGTATTACTCTAACTAAAATGGTGTATATTCGTTCATAAAACAAATAGATGTTACTTATTTGTATTCAATTGAAATTGTCATTCTATCCAGAAAATTAAAACTGACATATACATGTAAGTTACCTTTATTACTTTCTTCTGACGTATAAAACAAGATTGATATATTGCTACGTTAGATACTGGGTAATATAAATGCAGGGGATTGAAATACATCAAAGAAAGAATTAATCAACTATTTAGTGTTTGTTATCTTGAGAAGAAAATAAATATTTAATCATTTTCAGTTACAGAGGATGGAATGACCTTCTAGGGTTGTCACTCAAGTTTATATCATCTGGTTTAGGGATTTCATTTAAGATGCATACATGTATTCAGTCTCTCATGCAGAGTTCTCGATCATTCCACTTTCAGGTTTATATAGTGAACTTGTGTCCTGATAGTAAAGCATGACTTTATGATATTAACTTATCCAAAAGTTCATTTTAAACCACTTCAAACATAAAACAAGTTTCTAATCGACTCAACAAAATGGCTAGCCTGTATAAAGTATTAATACATTACAAAAATACTACTTGCAAATCAAAGAGCGTTTAAAAGGGTGCTGTTATTTCAGGAGGGTGAAGACGAGGCTAATATGACGGGAAAACAAATGGATTTGAAAAGAATATTTTGACAAAGTCAATGGGACACATTAAGAAAATAAATCCGTACACGAATTATATACTGATTTTTCCCCAAATTGTATTGACATCTAAAGTTTGAAATAACATCAAAATTGTCATACACTAAAAGTATTTTTTATTCTTATTTTGTAACATAAACTGCACATACATATATAATTTTTCTTACTGAAGAAACAATTTCAGATTTATTTCAAATGACTTATTATTTCAAATTATTACAAAATACTAATATTTGGGGCCTATTGGCCACACGTTCTTCTGCATTTTCCTTTCAGTTAGATGCATGAATATATTCCATAGAGTTTATAGAAAACTTTTGTTGGTTCTTCGTTATCCGGGTAGAACTGAGAGTTTAGAGCCAAGCACATATTATGGGTATAACTCTTTTATGACTGCATCTAGTCGATTTTGCTTGCAGAACTAAGTAAAAGAAAGTCTTTGTTGATGTGATTCAATGAAAGGGGGTCTATGTGTATAGTTTATATTATTTAGTAATCGGTAAAAAAGAATCAGTGTACTACTATTAATATGAATAAAGAAATGGAAAGCAGGTTAAGAAACCTTGGACTTGGCATAGCGAGGAGAGTGATAGTTCAAAATACACTGATAATGAAGTTTGCCAGAGGAATGTTGACAGCTTGATATGCTATATATAAAACAAAGAAAATGAGAGGACAGGTTCTAGATAGAACTTTTAAAAGATCCTGAAAAAATTGATAAAGATACTGTAAGTGTGACTTACTTCACAGAGGCTAAGAAGGCCAGCTATACAGACGTACAAACAAAATGCATTCTTTACAGGGATGGACAAATTCTTTTAGTACTTTATAATGATGAATAAATGTAATATGTTTAAATTACATTGTCATGTCTTAAAAGAACAATTTTTAAATAGACTTGTCACATAATGTGGCAATATTGAGATTATAGCAAATATGCTTGCAGAATTGAGCTACATGCATGTTTAATATAAGTATATACATTTAATACATCAGTTAAAGTCACCTTATAAAACAACAATTTACAGATAATAATATAATAGCTGAAAGTAATATTTTATTGGTGTCAAGAAGTAATGCAAATTACATCTTATTTTATATTAGTAATACTAACTTTTTATAATACAAATGTACAAACACGTCAGTTGAGTGCATTTGAATCGATAGTCTAATTGTTTGATAGGCATCTACACATCAAAATCAAGTAGAATACGTTATATACATTGTATGCCACATTTTCCATACTATACGTCATCATTAAAAGTTTAGAGTTTACACAGTTTAAATAAGGAATCCAGAGAACGTGGTGGTAGGAGCGTTGCTGTACGTGTAATAACCAGTACCATGGTGATGCCTTACCCACACCGTGTCCCCCTGCTTTAGCGTTAATGTAACCAGGTTAGTACCTGTCTCCCAACGATCACTCGTGTCATAAGAACTAGCCATCGCTCGAACTTTACTAGATCCATATAACACAATATCTACATATACATCACTTTTGCTGGATGGTGACGAAGAACACATAGTCGCCTGATACGGGTGCAGTGAAGATTCCGGTGTGAAGGTTATACCCACCTCCGACGTTATTGATAACCTTATTAAATATTAATATCCCACTGTTCCAAGAAATGCTATCAGACGTCACCCCAGCAGTGAAAGTCACGCTCTTGGACATGTCTACAAGTAATAAAATGTTAATTATTTGAGGATATAACAAATTAGATCCATTGTATTGATTGTTTAGCATATCGAATTTATTCTTTGATATTCTTAAGTATTTTCAGTAATTGCTAATAATGATTAATTTGTCCATTAAAATATGTTATATAAGACGATTGGGTAACGGAGGGCACGTGGGTTCCTGCAAAGTTCTTGCCTAAAAGTCGTAGCCCAAAACGATTTTTTAGCATATTTATTTATTTTTCTTCAGTCTATTTTATTTATTTTTCTTCAATCTTTTACCTCTTTATATTATTTAAATGTTTATTTATGTCAAAGGTACTTCTTAATAATAAATAACTTGTGCATTGAAAACGATTTATCAATATGCCAATGCAATCCACTTTAAAATCAATATGCAAAGCGCTCATTTCGGTAAAAAAAAAAAAAAACTAATGGCACTTTCATCAATCTCCAACATCTCCTCCCCTCTACTGCATGCACAAAGCTTAAATTTTGGATATAAAATAATCATTCTTAGGCCCATATGAATCTGAATCCGGGCTAAGACTTTGGAAAAAATAAGAATTAGAATCTAACACCTGAGCTACCGTGACGGTTATTTAATCAAAGGAACGAAACAGCAGCATTTCAACCACAAAGTGGGTGTTCTACCAAGCAGGATTTGCTCTATTTTGCTTGAAAAACTGTCGATTTTGCAACAATAAAGACTCCTCACTGTTCACTGACCCAGGGTATCGAGTAAAGTTATTATAATTTTGAAGGTTTGTTACCGATAGAATGACTTCTCTATGAAAGAAAAGTTCTCCAGTAAGACGTAAAACAACATACGAACATACAAACAATCTGCTAGAATATTTTGAAAGGTAGGATGAAGAGGTTAACACGAATAAAAAAAACTTCCCATCTATTAGTATAAGTATTGTAATATTCTTATGCTGACAGGATTTATCCTAGAAATGGCTCCTGTGATATTTTTCTCCAGTTTTCAATTTGATAATGCTTCTATTTTATATGTGGCAGCATGGACGTAATGTAAAACGTTATTCTTCAATTTTTAGGTGGAATAATTCAATGCCAAGAAAAACATATATATATATAAAAGTAACTTGATCCGAAGGGTCACTTCACGTCGAGGTTAAAAAATCCTTCTACATACAATGTACAATGTTTGTTCGAAAAGTACGTATACGATGTCAATTTTCGTTATATTACTCACCAGAATTTTTTAAAAAGCACAATATAATATGTAAAAATATTTGTTTGTTGATGTGTGAAGTTTCATTAGATTCGATTAAACAGAAATCAATTTCCTTCATTTTAAAATTAATATACGTTGTACTCACGGAGCACACTTAACGACAATGTAACGTCAAGAATTAAAAAAAAAATAATATCCCTATACAATTCGCACAGTGTTATCCAATACTCACTCATTAAAAACCTTTTTTCACCTTCATATTTATTTTTTTAACAATTGTTATCCATGTGTAATTTTCTTTATTAAAGTTTTTTATTACTTATCTCTATTTTCTCAGGATAGGCAACATAAAAGCGCCTATGTCTTTCCTTGAAGTTCCAACTTCTTAAAATTTCTGTTCAGATGTTTACAGTTAAACCGTTGCTTCACAGATTGTCCTCATCCGATAAAGAGTCTGTCACTAAAATTATGCCTGTACTATTTGACCACACATGCAAAACTCCCTTGTGACATATTTTTTTTATTCCTCCAACAATTTTATAGTTTATTCAGGATATTTCATGGGTAGAATGCAAAATTGCATCGTTATCTGCTGCTCAGGACGTTCTAAAACGTCATAGATTATGTCGATTTCAATGAGGACTACCAATCTTCTCAAGTTGATTTCTTTTCAACGAAGCAAAATATTAAGCCATAATTTGGAATACGAATCGATATAACAATTCTTAATTTGAATTTTTAGGTTGTTTTTCGTTTTTGCTCCATCTTACAGAGAAACGACTACAGGCGTTATTTAGTTATTGTTTGTAGCTTACTAAATTTTGACCTGCTCCCCGACCCAATTTTTGCATTTTTTAAATCTTGAAGTTTTGAATAAATCGTGATATTTTAAAAAAATAATACAAATCATTTGAATTTATTGTTAATTAGGATAACATATGACGTCAAATAAAAAAAAGATATGTCAGAAGTCAACGAACTTTTCGAACAACCCTCGTACAGACAAATTACATTGTTTAGTTATCTTTTCACCGTATTTCGCCCTATGCAGCAGAAATATACTACTCTTTCGAGTAAAATAAAACTTTTTTTCAATGTTATCATTGAGGTTATTAGTTTTAATTGACAGCTTCAGTTAATTACTATTGAATGATGTATGTAAAGTAAACATATATCATTCTAAGTTTTACAGAATACTTACTTTTAACTTGAGTTGAAATGAATGACAAAGATGTCTCCAAAGTTGCAATGGATGATGTATTAGCTTTCTTTGCTTCAATTATCTTTATCTCTGAATCAAGTTTCGCAACTGTTTATGCATTTTGTCCTTCAATTCTCGTCCAATTTTTGCTGACTTTTTTTAAATTCTTAAATTAAGTTTTGGACAGTTTGACATTCCCTATTAACATAGGGAATAAAATGTCCTTTAATCTCCTCCAAATGCTGTTCAATTGTTTGATCACTTTTTTCCAGTTGTAAAATTGTGTTCTGGACCGTTTGAAATGTCCCATTTACAGAAGGAATCAATTTTGCTGTAATATTTGCATCATCGTTCTTTGAATTTTGATATCCAGGTCTCAGCTTTTCTAATTTTGATTCTAAGTAAAAAAAATTCTTTTCGGTTTCAAGTTTGAATTTTTCCATAGTAGTTTTCGACACGAGCATGGAATTCTTTATTATCAGCATGTCTTTCATTAAAGAGTTGACATTTTGTACTAGGGCCATTCGAATAATGGTTTCTTGATTTAAAAGCTGACGTAGTATATGTGTATTTTCCAGTGCATCGTTAGTAATATTTCCAATACTTTGACTGTTCAGTGATGAAGTTGAAGCAAACAATAACACTCCTAATAGACTTAGTCTAAAAACCGAACGTACAATTACTATATTTTTCATTTTCTTAAACATTTCTGCCCGGAACTTATTTTCGACATGCAATATAATTTATATAGTGCAAGAATCACGTATTCCAATTCTTGCTTTTGTAATACATCTTAAAACAATTGATCATTTAAGCGGTCCGACTATAGTTTTATTGTATGAAAACTACAACAGCGAAACTCTTCATTTTTATACCATATATAACTTACATTAACTTCAGTGTACATGCAAAGTTTGGGGGAAATCTACCGTCCAGGTATTTTTGAGGGACCATCTCAAAATACAGGTACATTTACTATAGGATTATATAGGAAAATGCCAATTTTTAGCACTTTTAAGCAAATTATACAAATACTACAATAGACATTTTGTTCAAACTATAATATTTATTGAGTAATGCTATATTATACAATATATGTAAGAAACACAAAGTTCTACCCTCTTGTTATCACAGAGGGCATCCCAAAATGCAAAATATTAGCAAATTTTACTATTTTTATAGAGTATTACAAAATATGACATACACAATCGATTCACATGAAAACATAATAAAAATATTGGAGATATTCTCAAATTTCTATGTTTTAAATTTCAAGAGCGTATGTTTATTACTTTTTCTTTAATAATATTTTTATTACCCCTTTCCTTAAGAGCTACAGATTATCATAACGTCAAAATCGCACTGCAACGACGTAAACCTACCTATCAATTGCAAAATCGGTTAAAAAATCAGTTATACCAAATTGAAATCACATTTTTATACCTATCAATTCTTAATTTTGTTTAATTTTAATAATAAAGCGAAAAAAGTTGCATTAAAACAGTAAATACACTTCATTTTGCTATGATGCGCGAAATATTGCGCAATGGAAACTATAGTCGGCCCCCTTAAGATAGGCCCTTAAGATAGGAAGTACTCCAATCATTCAAGTAGGAATTTCCACATCATTTTAATTGATTACTTTTAATGCATGTAGCCTGTAATTACATGTAACACTTACTGGAGTGCATGTCATGAACACTGTAATTTTAAACATAGATTTAAAAAAATCACCTAATTTTTCAATGACTTTTAAAATGTACACTTGCATACATGTATATTGATCTAATTTTCAGCCTGTAAGTGTACCTTATGAGTAACAGATGAGGTTGGCATTTCTTTCGATAAACATATGAAGGAACGATGAAGGGGAACTGAACACTTGCTGTTGTTAAGCATACTCCGAGAATGCAACCCATCGCAATTTCTCCCCCCTTTCCTCTCAGGTCTTCGTAAGAAGTGTTTACATGTAGAGTCTGAACTCTTTGTTCTGCTATCACCTGCATACGGTGGTTATGTATTCAAACATAATTGATACTCAAGCGCATGCTCGTATATGGCCAATTTTAAACACAGGCAGGTCACCATAAGATAAGATGATGTCACAGGATTTTCAACAATCTCGTTTTAATTTGGTATTTTGTAAATTCTATGATCGTTATAATGACCTTGTATACAAATACATGTTTAACCTACATGTATCATTTGGTTGGTGATCTTTGTTTCATTCATACTTTTATGTCATTGATTTTAAAATTATACAAATACAGGACTCCTAATGGGTGGGTCCAGTCCATAGAGGATGCTTACGTCTCTACTCCTCCTAGGCACCTAATCCCACCTCGTGAATTTACAGGAGTCCCTGGAATTTTCCATTCACACTGAGTACTGGGAGATGAAGGATTGCTTGTTTTCAGACATGTCAGGTAGGCGTGTCCCCATACCAAACCAGGTATACAGAAAAAAGGTGTTTTATATATATATATATAAACCAATCAGAGACAAGAGTACAAACGAAATTAATTTTCAATTTGGTATTTTGTAAATTCTATGATCGTTATAATGATCAAGAAATCTGTACAGGCGACATGCCTAATGTAGTTCATGCAGTGATTAACGCAATGGGTTTTCTTAAGAAATAAAGGAGAAAATATATTCAGTGGATGTAGATATATTCGAATAAGCTAGGTTAACGCGTATACAGTATATTATTCCATATACATATATGTGGAAAGATTAAACTTAAATCAGGAATCCAGAGAACGCTGTTACTGGTGCGTTACTGTAGGTATAATAACCAGTATACCACGATGATGTTTTACCCATACAGTGTCTCCCTGCTGCAGGTGTAATATTACAAGATTTGTACCTGTCTCATATTGATCGTTAGCATTAAAAGAGTTAGCCATTGCTTGGACTTGACTAGATCCGTTTAACACTAAGTCTACATATAAAGAGCTATGATTTACGATACAGACATAGAACACATAATGCCCCTCAACTGGTGCGGTGAAGATTCCGGTGTGACGGTTATACCCTCCTCCCACGTTGTTGATAACTTTATCGAATACTAATGTTCCACTGTTCCAAGAAGCACTAGAAGTCGTCGCTCCAGCTGTGAAGGCCACACTCTTTGAGAGGTCTATAAGATAAGTACTATCAATCAGATAATCAAAATTCAGCGAATTTTAAAATACATAGGTCATGGATACTGTTAATAAACGAACTTTTTAGTGAAATTCAGATGGTCTGCTGAGGAGTGGAGCGACACATATAGTGATCACTATGACAATTATAAATCTCTGATGAGATTGATAAAATCCAGTTTAAAACTTTAGTTTTGGGATAAATATATAATGAATATTTAACCAAAGTTGCCTAATCAGGCTAAATAGTTTTATTTCGACAGTTCTATGGGTAAACGTTGTTCTATAATACAATGGGGATCCTAAAACAGTACTTACTTCCAATTTGAGTTGAAATGTATGACAAGGATGTCTCTAAAGATGCAATGGATGATACATTTGCTTTCTTTGCTGTTATCGTCTGTAACTCTGAATCAAGTTGTGTAAACTTTGTTTCAAGATTTCTCTGCATTTCTGAAATTGAGTCTTGGACTGTTTGAAATGTTCCATTTACACAATTGCAAGGAAATAATTTCATTTCTGCATTATCGTTCTTTAGACGCTGGTTTTCCGATTTTAGTTTTTCTACTTCTGTTTCTAACTTGAAAATTGTCTTTTCCGTTGCAAGTTTGAATTTTTCCACAACTGTTTCCAACACGAGCATTGAATTCTTAACGGTCAGAATGTCTTTCATTAGAGAATGGACGTTTTGTACCAGAGCCACTCGAATAATAGTTTCTTGATTTAGAAGCTGACGGAAAATATCAGCATTTCCCAACTCATCATCAGTCACTAATCCTCCAGTCATATTTCCAATACTAGAATAATTGTAGTTGTTAAGCAATGAAAAAACAATTAAATACTCGCTTAGCAAACAAAGCACGAAGCATCTAAGTAAATGTGCCATATTTTTGGTTTATGTATATTTCCATCCACGGATTGAATATAATTAACAGCGACCTCAAATATATATTGAAACCAGTTATTCCTCTTGATTGTGTATTAAAATATTACGTACATCATTAATTTGAAAAGTGTCAAGTACGAATTTCCTTATCTAGTTGAGATTGACGATAAGTAGAAAATGAAGATAGGAAACGTTAAGGACGGATATAGAAGAGAGACCAATTAGTACACTAACTGTAACTACTTTCCAATTCCCGGTGGCACAAAATGTGATAATAAGCTTCAAGACCTAACGGAATTCCCCTCAGTTTTCCAAGGAAATTGTTAATAAAAAATAAAGTGTATATTCTAGAAAAAAAAAATAATTAAAACTAAATTGAAGAATTCTCGCAATGTGCAAGGAGTCCTCAGTCAACAAATCGCTGTGGTACTTCTTTCAATTTTCATTTCATATTTTAAGGATTTCTTCTTTCATTGAACTAATTCAAAATTTCATAAATAGCTAGGTTTTGAGAGCAAAAAGGATTTGGTTGAACAAATTAATAAACGTGTTACGTACATCAAGGAGCAGATCCAGATGCAAGAGCACAAGAGTACAAATGCCCGTTTTCAAAACTATTGAAAGGCAAAATTGGGAATCGTTTATTTACCGTTTTTAAAGGTTGCATCTCATCCAATACGACAATCTGATAGGAAGGCTTTCCGTTTCTTTTAGATTGTTTCAGAGATATGGCTCTGGGATATGCAAGGAAAGTAAACAAAAACAGTGACTACAAAGAGCTGAAACAGCAGTTAAAACAGCAGAGAGGAAGTATCTATTCTGGCTCGTCGCAAGCTCTCCTTTGCCAACTGGAAAATGAAAACGTGGAAGAATTTGCTCAGCGTGTCTACTTCCTAGCTCTTGACGGTTACAAGAGCATCGAAGGGAACATGATTGAGGAGATAGCAAAAGAAATTTTCCTACGTGACTGTGGAGATAAAGAGGGTGCAATGAAAGCTATGGATAAAGAACCAATTTCACAACGCTTCAGAAGCAGTAAAATGTATGAAAACAGCCATTGCTAACCATCGTGCTTTATATGGGACCAGAGTAGCTGCCTATTGCAAACGCCACGTTTCACTTTCGAGCAAGGAGGGATCTCCAACTGGTGAACTTTCTGTTTGAAGGACTGAATTCAAGCTTTTGAAAGAGGAGAAAACCATGCTCTGGATAAAAACATCTTAAAACTTACCAATTCAATTGAGACATTGACAACACCTGTCCTACAGTCTATCGATAGGTATAAGAATGGTTTGACACCAGCAAAAGGGAAATTTCTGGAGATATCTTCAAGTTCATGTACATGTTACCAGCCAATGACCACCAATCTTTTTGTTGAGTCAAAGGAGTCCATCATAATTATATATCAAATGAAGCTGAGTTCCCAACAAACAATAATTTAAATGGGAAAGGGTCAGGCCATTAGGCCCACACTTGTTCCTGGGTGAGAGTGACCTAACGAGAATTGACTCAATTATTGGATCATTAACATCAGGGATGGGCAGTTGTCTAGTGAGCAAAAGAAGCTGTTATTTCATACAAATAAAAGGGTTTCCAAGCTAACATGAATGGATCGATGGAGAACAGTACGTATGTGCACTATGCACCTACATGCACCACTATAGCTCAAGTTCCAGTCCAAATGTTTAAACCCTTATCCAGTGACTATGTTGTTTCTCCCTTGCATCTAAAATCTAAGGTTCTCGGAACCGGCTCTACAACAACTCTGAGCTTCATAAATGACTTCAATGCATCATTCTACTGGAGCTACTGTGAGCATTGAGCTCACTAAATGATACCCCAGCCAGCCTCCCATGTGAATAAAATGACAGTGTCAATGTTTTGCTATGGAAAACCCAAAATACCCGGTATGTGTGGATCAAAAAGTAAAATAGGAGGTGCACAATGGCAATATGTAATAAAGATTCTCTGAAAGCGGGGGAATAACAAAGATCATGAAGAAAATCAAGGTTAGGGAAACTGAGGTTAATGCTCAAAATGTAAGAAAAATATATGTGCTTTTCTTGTTGGGAATAAACAGACGTATGAAGCTAACAAGAAATTCTCAAAACCTATTATGGATCTATACCAGAGGTCAAATTTCAGACTCAACGACAGTAAGAAACATCATGACAGACAGCTGATGATAGATTATTAGGATATATTCTCAAAGCATGACTTAGATTTGGGCTGTCTAACCTTGGTTATCCACAGAAAAGATACTGAAATAACCCACCAGTAAAACTTAAGATAGGGTAACGCCTCATGAATTCCAGGACCAAGACAAAACACAGCTGGACAATTACTGTGTGACAGTTTCATCCTGGAGACATGCAATAACTATGAACTTCAGTACCCAACAAAGGATAAATACAATGGTATTTCCCTTGGAAACTGGCTGCAGAGGATTTCCTGCACAATACCCATCTAGAAAGATCCAATACAGGGTCATGACAGTATTTGGGAATCACGGGGAAGAACAGGAGATGAATACAAACCGCCAAACACAGCGGAAAAGTCGTAATGTTGGTTAATATGATGAAGAAGAACTGGAAGCCATCTTTAGACGTACAGTAATTTGGCTCATTACTACTATTAGGTATGGGGTATATTTTTTATTAAAAGAAATATAAGTAACATCAGGCGCCTGTGATCCCATCCTGAGAATGTGAATTGTTTCTATCTTAAAAAATTGATGTGCTCAAAAAATTATATCTTCCATTTAATCAAGATTTCTTCAATTAATTTTTAAAAAGTTTGTATATATTAATTTCGTGCTCGGTTGATATCAGTCTTTAAAGTTTAATTATTCCATTTCTTTTTTTTTTCTTGAAATACAAGCAATAGCATTATTTTGGTGTAAAATAAATCATTCAAGTGTGGTTTTTTTTTTTTTCGAAAAGGAAATTCATCGAAGAATGAAAATGCAACGGAAAAAAATTTAGGTCAACCAGAAGCATTTCGTCATTAATTTTCAACACAGGTTAGTCTAACATGAATAAATATAAGAAAAAAATTTCAAAAATTCTATTCCTATGAATCACACTAAATCATATTAATTAAATGCAAAGAAACTCCTGTAATGAAGATATTATACTTTTGCATCATTCATTGCAAAGTTGAAAAAAAATGATCAGATCGCACATCTTATTTTCAGATTAATTCCATGTACCAGTTTAGAATTGGTACTTAAAACAACTTTTTTCTTTCATCATTGTTTACGTTCATTTACAACAACACTTTGTGATAAATTAACCAACAAAGACAAGATTGAAAATAAAAAGTATTTTATTCATAGGCATTTTTTAATTACAAATGTTTAATACAAAATTTGATGTTTTTCTTCAGCAAAGAAAATAAAAAGTGAAAAAATGCACCTGCTTTAAATTCAACATAAAAATTCATAAGAATCACAATACTGAGAGAAAAGGCTATACATGTACTACTTAATATGCATAAACAACAGATCTTAATATGGAAGATTCTTTTGATGAACAAGAAAAAAAATCAATTATTTTTAAAATAAACTAATACTTCTTCTCTATTTATGATCAATATTGAGTTTGTTATGATCAAAATAATTAGAAATTATGACACAAAATTAACAATATCTATAAGTAAATATATATAATTCTGTCCTCAGTAAGCCAAAAGTTCAGCATTCAGATGTAAAAATCTATCATGAACAAATTTATCACAGGTTCATACAAATATTACAGGTATTATATGTAAGAAAAACTTCAGCTTATTTCCACACCAGACAAATTCACACACCTCACATAAATGCTTACATTCAAGACGAAATGATGTGTTGTCACAACTTCAGTCTGTCATTTACAATGACACATATTTTGAAAACACATTGAAAATTTCAATTTACATCAAACATAGTTAAGTAAGATATGTTTTATCTCTTCTAAGGTTCACAAAGAAAACGTTATGTCAAACTGCGTGAAAGTTTAAGATATATTACATGAGTAACAGTTCACTTATTCAAAAATTTCTGAAGTTTTCTTATTCAAAATTTACAGAAATGTATCATCTTCTGGGTTTTGATTTATCTTGAGTGGTTTTTCTTCCTTGGGAATGATGTTTCTTTATAACTGTAAACAAAAAACCACATACCCTGACACATGATGGAGAAATATTTGTTAAATATATGGAAGGAATTTGTGCGAATTTTTGGCAATAAGAGAAATTGAAAATAAGGAAAACAAAAGAGAAAAACTTGATTGACTTTTTAAACATTACCAGGCTATAAACTCTACAAACTTAATATATTCTTAGGTAAAAAACCAATTTTTTAATATTCAAGATTGAATATTAAATACTCACTGTATATATTCTATACAAGGGGATAGCTGGCCTGTGTAGCTATTCCACACTGGTTGTCCTTGTTTCGTGACATTTTGACATAGCCATCCATACCCCACTCGGTACCCCAACTACAAGAAGAGGAATTTAAAAGTAAATAACAACAGAAAATGATACTTAAAAGCTATTGTCTTTTTTTAATCTCTCTGAAATGCATGTGATATAAAAGATGATGAGTCCTTACACACCAGACAATTTTTTTACCTGTTTTTAACAATCCAGAAATCTTTTCCCTCATCATCAGTTCCATATCCTACAGCTAACACTCCATGATCCAACTGTTCTGAGCTACATTCTGGCTCGTCATACACTCCTAGAGCAAACAGAGACAATGCAAAATTAAAAATCTCACAGTCTAATTAGCACAACTCTCAACACATAAACACCACATTAATAATCAACAAATACTTTACCGAAAAAACCTTTGCCAATGAGTATGAAACAGACTTTTAAAAAAGCACTGATATTTTCCGTTTTTCATTAGATCATTAAATTTCTTCACCTCATTGTTCTTACTTTGCTCATTTAAAACCTAAAACTGTATCTTACCTCCTGCATAAGACTGGAATGATGAATGACTGGCATCTATTGCTACTGAGACTGGGCCAACCTCTGCTACAGCTTTCTTCAGGGCAGACTCACTTTCACTCTCGACATCCACACACCCAGTGTCTGTAGCAGCAACCTTTTCTTCATCAAATTTACATTTCTTTTCCTACAAACAAGTCAAGATGATACAAAGAATTAGAAGATGCTATAATAATCAACTGTTAAGAAAAGGTATTTTAGACCCATTTCTGTGTCTTTTCATTGGCTTTTTAATAAAAGATATTAGGAGGTTAATAAGTACCTCTGCTTTGTATGGATAATCCTCTTCACTTTCAAGCCCCCCTACTGACTTGATATACTTGAATGCATTGTCCATCAGTCCTCCATTACACCCTTGATTTCCAAAGGAGCCCGAGCAGTCTACCAGTTGTTGTTCACTGAGGGACACCAGTTTACCAGTTTTACGGAAGTGCTGTCCTTCAAGGGAACCAGTCTACAACAAGAAATGTGTACTGAGTTTATCAACTGAATAGAAAATTATGAAGGAGGTCGGGATATATAATTTAACTTATTTATGATGAGAAATAAATTTTGGGGAAAGAAATGAATAAATAAAGTGATCAAAACACTCTGATGTTATATGTAAGTTTTATTTTTGAAATTCAAATGCTGTTGTAAAATTCTAACTTACTGTGCTAAAAGACCAGCAGGAACCGCACTGACCCTATATAAAGAGAAAGAGATAATGCTTTTATTATCAAAGTATCTTAAACCTTATTAATGAACAAGATTCCTTGTGACAAAACATGCAAAACTAAGTTATATTACTGCATCCATTTTCAAGTAAGCCACTTTATTTCTAAACACTATGTAAGATGTATAAAACCTACCTGATTTTTAACATCTGTAACATAACCCTTAGTTCTCCAGTCGACGGAATCCGGAGCCACGAGATTATTGGCTGAAAGGTACGAGGAGCATCCACCCTCCTTCAATGAAGTTCTATTTAAACCATTGTATTTCACAAACTCTTCATGTTTCTGCAAATCAAAAGTGCACACGAAATTTTTACCTTGTCTTCAAATGACATGTTCAATATGGCAATCGTCCAAATACATACCCGGTAAAATTCTAATGTACAAAATAATGAGACATGGAGGATTTTTCTTTTTCTAATCATATACTTTGAAACACAAAATTTTTGTGACATCTTATTTTAACATCAATGTTTGGTAAATATAAGGGAGGATAAGAATTCAAAACTTTCTATTATTTACTTTTAGGCTGTTGCTTTTTTAAATTAACTAAAATCATGTTTGCTGCTTATAATGTACGATTATAATAGGTCCCCTGAGATAAGTTTTGATTTAGACTTTTAGTAAGTAAACCAAATCATAGCCACTGAAAATTTTGGCTAATGTTTCAAGGTAAAAAGACATGAAGGACTTTTAAGTACCCTTAACATCTACATCTACTTTTATCTACTTCCTGACTTTATACTTATAAATGTACATTTCCTTCTTCCTTTCTTCAAATCAACCAAACAATTTAATCCACCATATTTCATTCGATGAGCATGCACAAGAATGAATTCAGCAGAATGAAATGAAACTATATGGAGGTCGACAGCACATAAGTACTTAATTCTGAGCTATTATACCTTAGTCATGAGGAAACATAAAATAGGAATTCAGGAATCAACACCAGTTGAATATAAATTAAATGCAATTTGGACCCTATTTAAAACGATACTTGTGACAGGAAGAGCACCTGCATTTATTTTTGTTCCAGGCTCACAGCTGCACAGAGTGGCTCGATAACAAATCAAAAACTTATCAAGAGGACTTTAATTTATACAGGAAATTATTTTTATCAGTATATGTATATAAAAACTTGATATGAAAATATAGACATTAAAGTCTGAATCAGGTGAGAGGGCAATAAAACTCCTCCCCCTCTTTGTAACAGCTGGCTACAGTCACCAGATTTCATTAAATATTCCTCAGCCATGACTAATGGCATGTGATTTTGTTTTTACAAATCATGTGATTATTTCTCATCATGATCACATCTAACATTACTTAAGTCTCGTTAATATCCTGTAAATGCGGTCAGTTTTTAAGTAACTACATTAAGATTACTACACATGACAACAGAATCAAACTACCGGTAGTTTTCTGACAAGTATGTGTTGTTTCCACACTGTCGAAACTTGTATACTTAATTGATACGTATGAAATTCTTGTTCTACACTGTAATTGGTGTCCTAAGCCTGTGTAAAAAATTTCTACAAATTTTAAAGTCCAGGATATTCGTAATATACATAATTTATGAGTAGTCTTACTCACATTTTAAAACATACATAAAGATGTTCCAATAACACCAGTGGTCCATTACTTACCAGGTCTGAAAATTGGTTGACCCCCATAAAGTAAGATTTCTTCCCCAGATGGTATAATCGGTTGTGTTCCTCAATTTTCTGGACATTTTCTCTGAAAATCTCAAAGCGATGGATCTCCTCTTCTAGAGCTTTGTAGGTTTTACCTGAAGTAGAATAATTAACATATGATGTGGAAAAAGGCCAGAATCTTTACTGTTTTACGCTTACATTAAATGATGAGGTGGGTTATAAAATTTTGATAAAACATGTAAAAGTCAGATTACAGTTATAAATATCATAAAAGTCAACTTTGTTTGAAATCAAAATAAAATTTGCAGGAACTTTAAGTACTATAGAAAAACTTACTTATCAGGTATAAGGATTAATCCATTGAAAAATTATTATTAAATTCCATAAAGACAGCTTATATTACCTTTTTCACCCTCAAAAATCATGAATACCGGTACATGTAAAAAAGGTTAAATCTGAGTTTATATAACTAAAATGAACCAGTTTACATGGTTTAGTCACAAAGTATTTACTTTATTAAAATTTTTTCAAAGGTTAAATCTGAGTTTATATAACTAAAATGAACCAGTTTAGTCACAAAGTATTTACTTTATTAAAATTTTCTCAATAATTTGTCTTAATTAGAACGTAATATGAAATCCTACAGAGTAATAGGTGATAACAAAATGGAAGAACTTTGTACATCAATCATAGATATAGTTCCTTTTAAGTAAGTGATACTGTGCAAGTAAAAACTTGTCCGTTTCAAAGAAATATCAATAACTCTTCAGCAATGTCTCTTTAACAGAATATCTGAAGCACATTATTCTTTTTTTAATATGGAAAAAAACATCTAATAATTTGTACTGAATTGACAATATGCAATCTATTGGTAAATTTTTTGATAACAAAGTGTGTTTTAAAAATTTAATCATGTTTAACAAAACAAAATCTCTGTAACATTTCCAGAAACTTTTGCAGACACTTCAGCTCTTTACATTGTATTTGTTTTGAAGTGAGAGCATCCTGTTCATAATTCAAACAATCCAAAACTATCCTGATACTCTGTATTCTAATGACCAATTAATTCCAGTCCAGATTTAAATCTACATTTGGCAACACTTGAAATCATCAAAGATAGCACTTATAATTAACAGAAAACAAAAAAGTGCTCAACAACACTTGAAGTCTTCAGTTTTACAATATCACTATGCTTATTTAAACAATGGTACTAAATAAATGATTTTTTCTCACCCCCCCCCCCTCCAAAAAAAAAATTAATTTAATTAGGGAAAGTTCTGTTATGGAGCCATTTTAATTCACTAGATCTATGCACATTAACTCCACTATCAATAAAATAACTGGTGAATCAGTAAAATATTCAAATTGCTGCATCATAAAAATATCAAGCAGATTAATGATGCAAAATTAAACCTGACGGATTTTTTTCTTTGTCCTAAGTAAATACATTTAAGCATCACAACACTTCTAAATGACAGTACTAGAATTACATGAACTTACCATGCAGGATTTTGAATTCCTTCCAGGCCTGTTCGTATGGTTGGTAGTTGATCCCTGCCTTTGTTCGAAGGATGTGTAGCTGTTCCGGGTGTTTCTGAGCCTCCTGGATGTCAAACCATTGGACGTTCCCGTACTGCACAGAGGCCCCTCGCACCACAGCCAGCAAACACACAAACCACAAACTGTTCATCTTCTACGGATTCTTAGAAAACCTGCAAGAAATTTAAACAGAATGTAAACAAATTTATAAACATTTGAACGTCAACATGGTCAAGACTGACAAGATCATATTTTACCTGTGATTTCGTCATGCATATATGCACTTGATATTGTCTTTTTTACAATCAAATGCTATCAAGCTTGTTCAGGCACAACGCTTCCTATGTTTTTCATGTTAAAATGCATGATTACCTTCAGAACTATGTTTAATGTATATGTTCTGAAAAACAGGATGTAAAATGCAACATAAACATCTAGAATTCTCCTCAATTTACTGAAAACACCTTAAGACTGGGTTTTCCATCAAACATCAATGCATGGATTTCATAAACTAAATATGGCGTCGGCATATCCCACTGAAAAAATTTGCACTAGCTAAAGCATATTAATTGATTCTGTTTTCCTTTAAATGGTAATGACTTTTTAACAAGTTTAGAGTGAATAGCCTTAGAAGTTCCTAAATAATGTCAGTAAAATTTTGAACATGATTATTTTCATACCAGATTATACATGTACATGTATATATATGCATATACTATAAAATATGTCTTCTTTTTCATATTAAGTCAATCCTCTCCAAGGGAACAGAATTGTGAAATTTAATATGCATTTGCACACATGCAGACAGACATTCAAGAAGTGTTTATCAGACTCAAATTGTTCGGAGGGCTGGTATAAAATATTGTCATTAAGAAAAATAATGGCATTATACAAAGAAATTTTAACATTTAACTTTTTCACCATTCTTTTAAGTCAAAAAGCCTAACTCTTTCAAATCATCATGAAAAATGTTTAAGATTTTTGTGGTTATATGATACCTTAATCTGTTCAGTTAATTGCTGATCAAACAATGTCAAATGTTTCTACTCTTAGTATAATATTACCTTGTCTGTTCCCTGTCAAATGTGGAAGTGAGTAAATCTCAGTTTAAATGTCTTTTTATAAAGAATTTTTATGAGCCTTGTGATGAACCCATGTGACTACAATTATGAACAGTCATGCTTCACTGATCAGGTGACCTAGCCTTTGGTGATAGGTTCACCCTGTTTTCAAAACTCCCAAGTTACCTTGTTCAAACACTTGAAATTAGGAAGTACTAGCACATGAACATTGATTCACAAAACACTTTACCAACGAGTAAATGTTGGTAATTAAGCTATAGGGCTTACAGTAAGCTTTAATGAAATTACTATATATGTAACAAGGCAATGCAATTCAGAAATTACAGGGTATATTTAACATGTACAAGATATTTTTCTTTTAAAAATCCAAATATGTGTTAATGACCATACATTGTACCCCAAGTTCAATCCATTATTTAATGTAAAATTACTGTACACTTTTATCATGTGTTTATTTAAAATATTTCAGTTTGTAAGTATGATCATGACTGAATGACTTTCAACGTATTAGCTAGCTTAGAAAAATATTTGTAAAAGCTTGTAAAATTACAAAATTCAGGGAAATTAAAATACTTTGCAAAAAGTGAGTGCTAGTTTCACGCAATACCACATTCATTTTTGAATTTCAAGGCTAATTGATTTGTTTTGAAAAATTCAATACTTAAGTTGGGAACACAAGTACACGTTTTGAGAAAAAAAATCATGCCGAGTAAATACTGCTGTATTTGCCTTTCAAGAACATCTCTGGGTAATAATACTCATACTTTTTTTCAAAGGGAAGTTTTCTCATTTCAATTAATTTCTTAAACAAAAGAGTTAATACAGCTTGTTGTCAAATTGACAAATTTCTTGTGGACTGCATGCTTATGGCTATGTTTTAACAGTTTGATAATATTTCTAATGTGACTTCACTAGAAGCAGTTGTACAACTAAGGAAGTAATGAAATTTGAAGTATAGCAGTACATGACATATGTTAACCATCCACTAGATTCATTACCTGCAACGCAGTTCTTCCTGTTTAATATCACTTAAACTTATCTGTTTCATAACTTTCATCATACAATATTTATTCAAGTACATGAACACTTATTCAGACAGTTGTTTTCAACATACAGAAATAAATTCTCATAGGATATAGACAGAAGTTGGTCAAGTTTATTTAAGGAATAACTGTTTGATTTTTTGATTTCATGTCGATGAACAATCGTCATGAAATCAAAAAATCTGGTCATAACGCGTGACATTCACGGCATTCCATATATATACAAAGTATTTGTGTATTGAGAATTCTTTTATTGAAAAAGGTTGAAAAAGGATTTAATTTACTATGACAAAAAAATTCATACATAATTTGATTTAAATTTACATGTTAAAATGAAAATTGAAGGTTTCATATTTCAGTATTGACCTGAAGTAAGTGTGCATTTTTTTAAAAGCCTTTTCAGTTTCTGCTGAATTTGAAAGTTTACCAATTTCAGTTTTGAAGTTATTTTTCCTCTCTCTTAATTAACTACTGCAATGTGTTTTAAATGTGACATTAGGCCTACACTGTCTTTGATCACTTTATTTTATCTAGAATTAAAGTTTTTTTTCTTTCCAAGATTCCTTGATATGTACAATGTACTAAATATCGTTCCTCTTTCTTGGTTCAATCAGAGACATGTGTTTGGTTCAGTTTGTTCCTGTTGGGCCTGATAACGATCTAGTTCTATCGGAAGCCATTTTAATTGACTTCAAACATTGATTTGTCAAAACAACACCCAGTTAATTGTTTACACCTGCACTGATAATTAATCCATCGGCATTGTTTACGTAGATCTAAGCTTGGGTTGTAACTGGAAGTTAAAAGTGCAACCTAATTTACGAACCAAATCCGGAAAATCGGGAGATTTTCGGGTTGTTCTGCAAAAATCGGGTGATAAGCATGACCCGCCGGGTCATAAAAAATAATCGGGTTACGGGTTGAAAAATCGGGTGTGACCCGACGAAATCGGGTGAGTTGGCAACTATGCATGTCGATGAACAATCGTCATGAAATCAAAAAATCTGACAGTAATTCCTTATAATCTATAGCTTACGACCATTTTTAGCCGGGCTTATTGCTCAAAGAGCAATTGCCGGCTTATGTCATCCTGTTCAAGTCAGGATGTCAACCCCATAGTCGTCATTTTAAAGTTACGTGTAAAAATATAGTTCTTACTCTCAACCGCTTCTGAGAAAATACAAACGCTAAATAAAGCAACATGAATAAAACGAAGTTTTATCTAAATAAATAAACATTAGTAGTAATGACTTTGAAAACTTCAGTCTTAAGTCAAAGAACATAGTTTATTAGCGTAAGGATTTTTGATAATCAGTGTTATCGTAGTTCTCTACACTAACGAGGAAAAACAGGAGAGGGAACCAGACTGGCCTGTTCGTTTACATTCAGCCGTAGTACCAGATTAATTTTGATTCTGACAAAATCGGACCGTAGTATTTGGATTGCAAACTCACTGTCAGTGTCTTATAATTTATATTGCTAGTTTAATATAATTTTTTATTCAGAATTTTTAATCTTATATTATTGTTATTTATCTGTTAATACAGTATAAACGTATGATTCATGTAAGAAATTCATTTTACTCTGTAAATGAGCCCGGCTCTCTGTACTTCTGAGTACTTTGATTTTTTTTTTTAACTGACTGGCCTGAGTCCATACTCTATAAAAAAAAAATGATTATTGAATAAAAAAATAGAACTCTGCATTACATTTTCCTTTTCACCCAACAATTTGATTACTAATTCAAAAAAATTACTTTTAAAAAAATAAATCAAATGCAAATCTACGCGATGTTTTTGTACCAAAAGACTAAAGTCATATGACTTCAAATACGTCATACAAAGGAATTTTCGTTACAAAACCTAAGATCACTAACGACGACTTTTATGAAAGACAACAGTTACTGTTTGTGTAACAATAAAAATAAATTTGTTTATGATATCTCCGTCTTTACTGCTGATAAATGTGTTTGAAGAAGCTGATTATATTTACCTGAACTTTTCTCACCTGTTATCTGTAGCACACTGTTTCACACTGAACTTTCTTCTTTTGTTTTTCTTTTGTCATGTGAGAATTAATCACATGACCCAGACTAAAATTAAAACCTTGTCACGACGGAATTCCGGTTTTCGTCCGACAGTGGTGGCGGATCCAGAATTTAAGACGGTATAACGATATATTAAAGATTCGTTATCCTGTGCAGGAACGGCATGCAACACACGCACACTAGCATTCAATGTTTTCATACCAACACTTTCTAAATAAAGTATATTATCTACTTAGATTTCAATTACCATACATGCATGTCTCATACAAATCTAAGATGGATTATTACATAAAAACATAAAAATTCTTCCAAAAAGAGATACACATCAGGTTCCAGTTTAAATTCTCTCTCTCTCTCTCTCTCTCTCTCTCTCTCTCTCTCTCTCTCTCTCTCTTTCTCTCTCTCTCTCTCTGAAAGGTCTTTCCTCGATGAATACTCATGTGAAGTATGAAATTAAGGTGGAAAATGTTTGGAAAAAGTTGTCAAAACTCCAGGGTCAAGATCAGGTGGTACCCTAAGAAAAATTGTGTCACAAGTTGTATAACTGTAAAATATGAAGGTTGTAGGCCAACCCATGCACTCAAAAGTTATGGGCGCAAATTTAAAGATTTCATTTATTTTTTTTGGGGGGGGGGGGTGGGGGTAGTCGTTGCCTTTTTTATAAAAAGCTTTGATCTATGACTTTTTTTTCCAATTTCACATAGATCCGCGTTTTCAAGAATGGATCCGCATTTTTGAAGGGGGAGGTAGTATACAGGAATACCTTTACTTGATCAGTACATTAATTTTACATGTATAATACATTTTTTTTTAACTTTGCAAATTCCAATCCCCTCCCCCCTCTCGATCGGCTCCGGGCATGAGAATAACAACAATTCAGATTATTACATGATTGAATAATTTCCATCTCTCTGATAGGCTGAGATCCAACTATGTTAGAAAAATACTACGTTGTATTGACCTGCACGTGACGTTCCAGGGGAATACAAGGATTTATTTCCTCTACATTGATCTAAAAATAGATCGTGAAATTCCAAATTGATACAAATTATTTTGGAAAGCTATTTTAGCGACTATGAATTTTTTTCATGTGAAGAAAACATAAGCGAATATATATTTTCGGGTAAGGGCATTAAGAGGGGATTCAGGGACCCCCCCCCCCTCCAACACTTTTACTGAACAACATTTTTTTTTACTTTTTGGCTGTCAGTTTTCCCCTGCTCCTTTCAAAATCTATCCTATAAAAAGACTGACATTATTTTTTTTTCATGGCAACTAAAATTGATAAAATAAAAATTTCAAATTGATACGACTGGTAAGGCTTATTTACAATTTAATTCTGCTTCTCTCTTGTATTTGGCTAGGACTTAACTAAATGCAAACAAGACTAGTATTGAGCTCTATCATTTTATCAGTGAATATAATAAAACGATTATTGCTGCTTTTTTCGGTCAATACAATGATTTAGCCATCTTCGAAGTACAATATTCACCTCGCCCTTCGGGCTCGAAGCATGTCAGAAATGGATCTATTTTTAAATATTCTGTATTTAAGTTGCCATTTCCGGGTTTTTTTTTTATTTGTGGTCGTTCAATGTTGATGTTAAAATCTGCTTCTGGATCACCCATATCAGTTTAATTCGTGAGCTGGAAATCATTATGGTCTGTTTAAGATTTCCCTAAAAAGTTCTGCCCATCGTTCCACTAGGTATTTCGATTCTCTGATATGACGGCAAATTTCCTCTTTAGTGTTTTACAGGTTCGATTTACGGATAGTCCATTCTTGCAACTCGCTGCGTTTGTTATTGTGTTACGGTTTTTTGCTCTTTGTCTCTTGTTGCTAGGGCATCTACATATAATATTCTGTCCGCAGAGCCTTTTCTCGCGTCCTTCTGGCCTCAATAACAAAAAACCGAGGACTTTTTTTTTTAATTTTAATAGCTTCTTTGTAATATATGTGCATAAAGAATTACAGATTTGTGTAACATTGAAAATATTCAAACAAATGTGGAAAACTTTGTTTCATTATCAAAATTACGTATTTTACAGGCACGTAGCAACGGGGGGGGGGGGGGGGGGGGGGGGGGGGGGGGGGGCCTGGTCCCCCCACTTTTTTTTCCCAACAATACTTTTACTATTGGAAATGTTTAGTGAAAGGCTGGTTGCCCCCCCCCCTCCCCACTTTATACTACAGGGAACTGATATAAAGGAAATGTAGTGTTAAACACAAAAAATTGGTACCCCCCCCCCCCCCCGAATTGGGATTTCCGAGTTTGGACAATTTTTCCCTTTTTTTTTTTTTTTTTTTTTTGCTTGTCAACTTTTTCAAGTAAGTAAAAAAAAATTCTCCGGCTGACCCCCCCCCCCAACTCTTAAAAACGATGCTACGTGGCTGTTTTAACAAATATATATAAAGACTTAAGTCTGTTCTCGTTCTCAGTTTATAATAGTTCTGTATACGTATACGTAACGCAGTCGCTAGAGCATCAATAGAAAAAAATAATAATTATGTTTTTTTTTAAATTAGGAATTAGGCCATTCTCCCAATATAACGTGCCTGACATAGTAATTTGATTAATCACTGCTGATTCGATCCCACCCTGAGACAATTTTAGGGTGGGCGACAAACTTTACATAGTTTTTTTTTTTTCGGATCCAGCAATCGGGAGGTCAACATTATAGACATTTGTTGACAGGGTTCGAGGGAAACATGCGTTTTGTTGGACCCAAGAACCAATTTGAACCGTTTGCACTATTTGCATATTGCTACGGAGGGGAGAAAAAGAATAACAGACAAAAGGTTTAGGAAAGAAGTGTATGTTCCTTTATCGTCGAACTTTAAAAACATTGCCGTGATACACTATCTTGGAGATGCATCTTTCTCAAAACCAAAGGCGCACGGAAATAGTACAAAACAAACAAAAATTTCCGTGAGAATTAAACCCTCCGTGATCAAAAAAATTCAAGAAAATGTAAAGACCAGTGACAAAAGCGCTCACAAAATTTATAAAGAATCAGTTGTCACGGATGAGAAAGCGGAAATCATGCCAAGAAATGTTCGGCAAATTCACTACATAAAAGAAAAAGTCAAATCGGATGAAAGGCCAACAAAAGATGCCTTAAAGATAAGGGGTTTGTTCATTTCATTGCTACATTTCCAGATTTAATTGCTATTATTGGAATGGAGGAAATGCTAAAAGAACTGAATGACAGTCTCCAAATGAACAGTAAAAATGAACAACTCCTGAGCTATGAAACTACCTTCTCTATGGGTGATTTTTATGTTTCAGCTGTTTTGTTTAAACACCAAGCTTTTGAAGAAAAACCCGTTTTGCCTGCCCTCTTCATGGTTCATGAACGTAAATTTCAGTCTCACCATGAGCTTGTCTTCGACATCCTAAGAAAATATTGCAAGACTAAACAGACTTAACAGTTTTACGGAAAAATGCCCGTGGTAAAAAGAAGCCAGGTAGGAAGCAGCCAAGGCCTGGGGATGTTGAATATGAATATCCTGAAGATAGTGCTGGCAAAAAAGCAAAATTTGAAGCAGACGACCATTCCGTGACAGAGGAAACAGCTGATGTCCGTGATGTCCGTGCAAGTGTTGAATCCGTGGGTGTAACAATCACGGATTCACTTGGTTGATGGTAAGATAACGGATGGCTCGACGATACCGTGATCGATGCTGCTCAAACTATTCTATAAAAACAATTCCCCTTCATAATGCTTTTGCTTTCGTCCAGTTGTTGACAATTTTATTCAAATTGTAATACACACCCTAAAACTGGTGGTCAACATTGGATAATGTTTACAACTATGAATGTAAAATTTGCATCTTCGTGCGTTAAACTTTATGATAGCGCAATGTCAAACTCAATTTCATCAGCCATTCAAATGAGCATTGCTAATATAATGCATTCTCCAGAGGAAAACATTACAGTTCACTTTATGAATTCTGATGTCCAGAAAAATGGCAACGACTGTGGACTGTATGCCATTGCAAATGCAGCAGAGATATGTTTCGGTGGACTTCCAGAGAATACTCATTTCCACACTGAAGCAATGACCCCATTTAAAAATGTATCATGACGGAATTTTCCGTAATCTCCGTGTAAACGGCAAGAAATAGAGTTTACATTTGATATGAAGTTGTTAGAAAATTCATTTTAATTGCAATTTTCGCCAGTGGTTTCATCCACGATGTCAAAATACAACACTTAGTGAAAAACAAATTAGAAAGTCTAAAACCATCAAATGTATGGATTGTAAGAGTTCATAAGTTTATCATATAAATCTTTCTTATTAAATATTGTAACATTTTCTCCCGATAAATAAATTCCGTGAATATTAATTCACTTGTTTTATTTTTATTTATAGATCTCACGGATTTTTTTAATGTACGGAGATGCACGGACAGATTTATCATCCGTGCAAAAAACAATCCGTGATTTGTACTATTTTCTATATTTCCGTGCATCCGTGATTCCGTGACCTGTCCGTGTTTTGTAAACGGCGAAAATTGTCATCATATGTTTAAATTGAAGTGTTTTTCACAATTACAAAATTTTAAGCTAATAAATTGAATGAAACTGAAGATATTAAAAAATTAAAATTTTGACTTAAGTCTGTTCTCAGTTTATGGTCTTAGGGCCAGGTTCGTCACTGTTAAACACAGAGATTAAGCTCCACCCATTGTGCGACGTAAGCGGTCCAACATGTCATCGACAGGTCCAACATCCAGCTCAGCGGTCAAACATCGATTTTTACGCCCGCTCAGTAAAACATCAGAAATATTAGACTTTTTCTTGTAGATTTGTAAAGGAACACATTTTTAAAAGGTACAACAATCTGTTTTAGTCACTGCAATATCTTATTGCACATCTATGTAGTTCTATATATTCAATAGTGCAGTGTTACGGTAGGTTTTGGATTACAAGTATATATTGTTTGTCTTAGCTTTTAAATTACATGTACAATTGTAAGTACCAATAAGTCTAGTAAGGAAACGTTAATTAATTTTACAGATCTGATTTTTTTTTTGTTTGTTTTGGGGGGGGGGGGGGGGGGGGGGGGTGGGGGTTGCTTCTGAAAAATTTTCTTCTCCATTTTTTTGAAACACAAACTCCGAGTTAAAATCTATTTTATGAAATTCTAGTGTAAACAATAATTATATATACAATCTCTTGTTTGTTGCACATGATGCCCCTAAGTGTCAGTTGTCTTGACTTGCCCTGTTGGTATCCCATCTAAAAGTCTTTTTTTTTTAGGGGGGGGGGGCATTAAATGCTTTTTCTGCATTTATTTTTCAGGAAAATTAAGTCCGTTGATGAATAAATAGATTTATTGATGCATTATCACAATATTGGTAAGTATATACAGAATTTATACTGTGGACACATTCAAGTTAAAAAATGAAATCTGAGAATATCCCTTGTATGAATGATGAGAATTATAAAACCAGTCTCACTGAGTGAATTTAAACAAATGTTCTGGATTTATCACAGTTTTGTGTTCATCTTCACATATCTGATTCTCAGACAGACAAATGACAAACTATTTACAAAAAAAAAAAAAAAAAACATTTGTGGGAAAATCTATTTAAATCCCAGTCTCTTTGCACTGACTACAGTTGATATTAAAATTTATGACAATAAATACCTTGGCATACATTTGGCTTAAAATGTATGATAAAAATTTCATAGTTAACAAAAATTAGAGATCTTTTGCATTTTTTTTTTATCAAACATACTTTACACAGGTGGTCATGAATTCAAACCCGAAATCAATTCTGTGCCATAATGTGATGACAAGTATAAGCATTTCAGTTCATAAAAAATAGTGGAGAGAAAATAGTTCCATAATTGTTCTTTCATTGCCTTATTGGTTGACTGCTGCTCAGGGCAATTAAAAGTTCCTTTTCCCCTACCCTCCCCAACTTTTATCCTCCAAGAATTTTTACTCCAGTTCTATTAATTTTATCCTGATAAAGTCATGATTCACATTCACAAAATAGTTTACAATAACAAGTTAATTTAGCATACATGACTCATAGGTTGGAATCATGTATTTGATGTTAATAAATGCATCCTCTCCCCCATGGCGTTCGAATGCTTCTAATGTTTCCTGTATAAGATCTCCAATGTTCTCCCTTTTCTGTTGGCTGTAGTCGATTCCATCTCCTGAATTCACTAGAAACACAAAAAAGTACCACAGTTAATGCTGTTCATTTCATTTTAATTAACATGATTAAATGTATTTGAATTTCAGGAATTGTATCCCTTCTCATTCATAAATATTTTGAATAACATTAAAGAAATTGTATCCCTTTTCATTAATCAATATTTTGAATGATTATCAATAGATACTTACAATTTCTATTCTTGAATATGTTAAGGATTGGCAGGATTTGTCTGTAGTAAGGCACAAGGGCTTCCCCTACCATGTCCGCTGACACAACCAGATGTTGTAAAACTTTAAGAGTCGTGCACATAACCTGTGGGTGCCTCATGTTTAATGCATCTGTAAAAGAAAATGAAAATAATTAAAGAAAATACCTCATGAGTCATGACTTTGAATGATAACTCTCATAGAGAAGAAAACATGCTGGGGTAATTAAACATGTTTAACAACTTTTCAATTAAAAAGGGCATTACTTACTTTTAATTGGAATGATTAACTGAGGTATAACAGGTAAGATTTTGGAACCACCATGCTCAAGCATGTCATGAACACCCTGCCTGGCAAAGAACTCATAGGGGTGCTCTGTTTCACACAGACCATCAAAAAACAAAGGAAGATAGTGATGGTAATCTAGTTTCTCAATTTCAACCTGAAATCAAAAGAAAAAATGAAATATTAAATACATGCCCTGAATAAAAGATCATAAATTGCTTTTGACTTTCAAATCAGTAGTAAATCCATAAAAATATGAATTTATTTCCCAATTATGGTCTTAATGGTGGCCATATGACAAACCAACATTTTTTAAAGATACATGATGAAAAAATGTCAAAGTGAACATATTATTAAGTATTAATTAAGAAATACAAAATAGCTAGTTTGCACTTGAAACTCAGGTGATAATCTTGATCTCACTGAGAAAGCTATTGAATACTGAATTTTGGACATTATTGGATATTTTAGAGTAAACTGATATTTTCCTAAACTGCAAAATGATATCAGTTTATTGAGTTAGAAAATCTTATCGTTTCTAGTGTCATAAGTCTACACCACAATGACCAATAAGACATTTTACATTTTAGCAACAAAATATGTTTCTCTCGTGAGTACTTGTCTACCAATAATCGATACAGACCTTCCAAGCAATTTTATTTCCTTTTGTGTCATGTTCCAGTGCAATTGGAAAATCACCACGTTCGTAGAATTTTCTGAATGCTGTGGGTTGGGCATCTTTCTTTACAAATGCTCCAGCTGCTGGAGGTGCACCTATTTTCTATAATAGACAAACACATTTTTGGTTGTTATTGATGAGAGAAAATTTGAATCATTAGGGTACCATAATAAATATTTAAAAATTTGTTTAATATAAAGTTTTAGATTACTTTTGCCCATAAATATCTTAGGAAATTATGCACAAAAATAAATGTTGTATCTTATGTCAATTAACAATCTTTAAATTCAATATTTCAGAATGTCAACAGCATGTAACACAAACTTCATATCATAAAAAAAGTTTAAACTTACATCAACTTTGTTTTTCATATAGGATTTTGTTGTGAATGCATCATCTGTCTTCTTTTTGGCTCCAAAGATCTTTTTCTCGTTCACTCGAGTCTCAAATAGTGTCTTCGACATCTTGTTATCAATGTGTGAATAGGAAATCTGTGAATCACGTACTATCTCAAACAGAAAATAATCATGGAGGCTACAACAACGCTGGTAGTCAGGCAACAAGACAATGAATGTCCCGGATCAGACGGTTTACTTGGTCGTAGTCATGGATGCAAAGTTCAACTTCCGTTTCCGATCCAAATGCACAAGCGCAGAAAGGAATATAAATGTTGTGTTTTTCAATGATTATCACCGATTGTCCTTTTCCAAGTGACTAAAATGGGTAGCGAAAAAACTTCCGGTCATGTTGTGATCTTGAAAAGTTGCCACAAAATGTATGCTTTTTCAAAGGCCTAATAATAGACATTTATTTTCATAATGATTGAACAATTTAACTATTTGAAGTTAATAAACAACCACTTGACTGCAGCACAATTCTCAGCGAAGGCAAAACATATAGTTATAAAATATGTCTTTAAATTTCGTGAAGAAAGAATGAGTATTTATCTCGTAATTATCAAAAACCCGGCTCTCAGTTTTGAAATTCCCGGCCCGGCCCGGGTTTCGCTACCCATTTTAGTCACACTCTCCGTTTCCGATCCAAATGCGCAAGCGCAGAAAGGAATATAAAAAAACTTCCGGTCATGTTGTGATCTTGAAAAATTTGGAACAGTGTATTTATGGAAGAATTCTGCTATTTTCATCTAGGAAATTTACATCAACTAATCCAAACTGTCTATGCGTCGCTAATAAAGCGTATATCAACCACAACACATGTCGACAAGTCAAGCTTTTAAACCATGGTTAGTCGTACCTTGTTGTTTCCCACAAAAAATGTAATAAACAAATATGTAAACATTAATGGGTTCTTAGCTACAAATCTGATAAAAACAAACGCACTGACCATATACAGACTTTGTTACTTTGAAACGTGAATTAATATAGATCATACAACAGAGATAATTCGAGTCAGCACAACTTGATGTTGGAAAGACCCTCTGTTCAATGCACACAATAGATTTCTACTTCAGTAACATATTTAATTGTTGCAGTTTAAGTAATTTTTCCTCCAACCACTTTAAATTGAGTGGAGAATATGTTGATGGTGTGACCGTTAGTGTGAGCGCAGATACTTATTCAGTTTTAATTTAGATCTTGCTTGACAAACCACTTGTGCCATTTGCTACGTAAGTCTTCGACAAATCCCTGGAGTCCGATGCCTGGGACCTGGTAAAATTGGAAGCGGGCATGTGGAAGTTGCACACTTACAAGCCCGAAGGGCATGTAAATTCTAAGGCATAAGCCTGGGTATAATCAAATGAAATAAGACCAATAACATTAAATGTACTTTAAAGTCTTTGATTTTCCATCTTAAGTGAAGTTCAAAATAAAATTTTACCTACAGTTTATTTTACCACAATTTCCAAGGAACTCTTCTGCAAAGGAGACACAAAAAGTGTACAGGTTGAAAACAAATGGCGAGACAATAAATTGACAGAATGGATTTCAGATCATTTCCTTGGCATGAAAAGGCAAAGAAGAAGAATATTATAACTTGATAAAATTCTGGCCTTGTAAATATTTGTTCGGGCTTGCGTAATTGGTGATCACACCTGCCCGAAGGGCATGTGCTGAAAAAAAATTTGGCAAAGACTGCTTCGTATAGACTGACGTCACATGAAGTGTGTGTGTTGCATTACCAAATCGAAGTCTGAACAATG